AATGCTTGAAACTTGCTTGAAAGATGCTTAAGGGATTCTGGAACGCATTCCAATTCGAATTCTGGACAGATGTGCTTTTGAAAATGTAATTTCGACGAATATTTGGGGGTAAATCAGTCAATAATGTTAATTGTTTTTCTCCAAAACTTGATGATTTTTACCCAAATCTTCGAATATTGGGTGTTTGAATGTTGATTGATGCTCCTCTGATTTCGAAGGAATTTCTGCATTGTTTGGAGGAAAGTCAATTTTTGGCCAAATTTAGGTAAAAATGTAAGGCTAACCCCTTGCATTTTTATCAGTTTTGGCCAAAAAATGCAAATGCTTGAAACTTGCTGGAATGATGGGTAAGGGATCCTAGAACACATTCCAATTCGATTTCTGAACAGATGTGCTTCTGAAAATGTAATTTCGACGAATATTTGGGGTAAAATCAGTCAAAAAAGTTAATTGTTTTTCTCCAAAACTCGATGATTTTTGCCAAAATCTTCAAATATTTGATGTTTGAATGTTGATTAATGCTCCTCTTACCTCCGAAGGAATTTCTGCGTTGCTTGGAAAAAAGTCAATTTTTGGCCAAATTTGGGTAAAAATGTAAGGCTAACCCCTTGCATTTTTTCAATTTTGGCCAAAAAATTAAAATGCTTGAAACTTTCTGGAATGATGGCCAAGGGATCCTAGAACACATTCCAATTCGAAATTTGGACAGATGTGCTTTTGAAAATGTAATTTCGACGAATATTTGGGGTAAAATCAGTCAAAAATGTTAATTGTTTTTCTCCAAAACTCAATGATTTTTGCCAAAATCTTCAAATACTTGATATTTGAATGTTGATTGATGCTCCTCTTACCTCCGAAGGAATTTCTGCGTTGTTTGGAGAAAAGTCAATTTTTGGCCAAATTTAGTTAAAAATGTAAGGCTAACCCCTTGCATTTTTTTTTCAATTTTGGCCAAAAAATGAAAATGCTTGAAACTTGCTGGAAAGATGCTTAAGGGATTCTGGAAATTTCGACGAACATAGGAATTTCTGCATTGTTTTGGAGAAAAGTCAATTTTTGGCCAAATTTGGGTAAAAATGTAAGGCTAACCCCTTGCATTTTTTTTCAAATAAGGCAAAAAAATGAAAATGCTTGAAACTTGCTGGAAAGATGCTGAAGGGATTCTGGAACACATTCCAATTCGATTTCTGGACAGATGTGCTTTTGAAAAGTCAATTTTTTGCCAAATTTGGGTAAAAATGTAAGGCTAACCCCTTGCATTTTTATCAGATTTGGCAAAAAATGCAAATGCTTGAAACTTGCTGGAAAGATGGTTAAGGGATCCTAGAACACATTCCAATTCGATTTCTGAACAGATGTGCTTTTGAAAATGTAATTTCGACGAATATTTGGGGTAAAATCAGTCAAAAATGTTAATTGTTTTTCTCCAAAACTCAATGATTTTTGCCAAAATCTTCAAATACTTGATATTTGAATGTTGATTGATGCTCCTCTTACCTCCGAAGGAATTTCTGCGTTGTTTGGAGAAAAGTCAATTTTTGGTCACATTTAGTTAAAAATGTAAGGCTAACCCCTTGCATTTTTTTTTCAATTTTGGCCAAAAAATGAAAATGCTTGAAACTTGCTGGAAAGATGCTTAAAGGGGTTCTGGAAATTTCGACGAACATAGGAATTTCTGCATTGTTTTGGAGAAACATAATATTTGACTTAATTTAATTAAAATGTAAGGCTTACCCCTTGCATTTTTTTCTTCAATTTTTGCCAAAAAATCAAATTGCTTAGAACTTGCTGGAAAAATGCCCCAGGGATCCTAGAGCACATTTTATTTGATTTTTAGACAAATGTGGTTTTCAAAGTGAAATTTCGGCGAACATTTTGGGGTAAAATCAGTCAAAACATCAGGACAATTAACATTGAACAATATTAACACACTGACAATTTGGATACAAAACTTTACTTTTATTGTTTGCACTGCTTTTGCTAAAATTAACATTTTACGAAATGCTGTGTCACGATCAAGTAAAAATTTTGTATACATGCATTGTTTCATATACAAAAAATAAATGTTAAAAAGCTAGTCAATACATTCGAATACAATGGTAAGGAAGTCATTAAAAGGAACAAAAACTGCAAATGTCCAAAAAGATGTCAACTAATTGATTGTTTGTTTTCGTTTTGTCATTAAATCTAAGCTGTTTGAGCTATTCACACAAAACCATGGGTTCAATAACGGTAACATGGTAGGCAATAAGCCATTTGCATGTTAAATTTGAATAAAATCTGGAACGCTGACTTAATACAATGCTTTGCACGTTTTAACCTAGCATTCTCCCGACCAAAGAGACTGTTACTATATCACGTGATTCGGGGCAAGCCTTATGCTAGCAACCCCCAGTTCCAGCATGGTCTGGTGTCTTTGTGCCATTCTCACCCATTGTGAACGATGTATTGGTGCTGAGCGTCTCTTACGTAACTATGCAAGAGCTTGCCCCGAATCATGTGATTAGCAACAGTGTCTTTGGTCTGGAGAATTCACAGTTAAAATGTGCCAAGCATTCTGAGCAAGTCATTGTACCAGACGTTTTTCAAATGTAAATCCCAAAGGGTATAGGTTACACGCAAATGGCTTATTATATTTCAACTCCAAAAAAATCTCTAATGTCCAGGCAAAGTTTTCAAGCATGGTACCCACACCGTACATGTATGTCCATACAGATTGCATAGTGTGACTCCAGGGGACAATTCCAAGATGGCTGCTTTGTCTAATACCTGGACGTTGCATACCTCCTGTTCCCAACAAATTTTCATTTAAAATGATCCCTACACTATTAGTTTTATTTACACATAAGGACTGAGTTGCATAATATACATTTCTTAATTATTAGTACATAGTACAAAATACACAAACTAATGTAGGCAAGTACATTTGTCAGTATAAAAGATGTATAATCTAGGATAGGCCAGTTCGGTATTTCAACTGCGCATGTGCACAATGTTACAGGTCAAAGGTCATGTGGGATAATCAAATGTTCATCTAAGGCGTATGATATGAATGTGCACGGACGTAGACGGGCGCATAATGCTTGCGCATTAATTACGAGCAGAATGGCGTAACATCGCATAACATGACATCAGCAGCGATTGCATCCCAAATGACCTTTGACCTGGACTACTTCATCGAGATAGCGAACTGGAGACGCGAAGCAAAGTACTACGACTATTGAGTACTGAAAGTAATGTCTACAATTACGCAACCGATACCATCACTTTGATACCAAATCAGTGAATAATATGCTCATTTAAGAAAAAGATCAGCTAGTGTTATGGAACAACTTGTTCGTACAAATTTAAACAGCCTTGATTTGTTCCATGTGAGAATTTAAGAAATCATAGGTATGTATGGCGTCTGTGCACCAACAGTAGGGGGGCACGTGTAGTCATGGGGGGGGGCAATGGGGGCCATGGCCCCCCCCCCCCAAAAAAACGAACCCAATTTTTTTTTTTAAGTGACGTCACCATAAAGGCTGGCACTGCGTACCAGTACACCACCATCTTTTCCTAAAAATAATTTGGTTAAAGAGGTCAGAATTTGCCTCAGATCGCACCACAGAGCATCTAGAATCCAAATTTTTTGGGGGGCTGATTACCCGAACCCCCTGCTTTTCTTCTTGGACCCACTTTTTGGGGGACCAAAAATGTTCTGCTCTGGATCCGCCCTTGCATGTCGTTGCCCAGGAGCACAGTAAGTGAGCCCTACTGTATCAATTTATTAGTATCGGAGGAGACAACGCTACGGTATCTAAAATATTTATTAAAAAACTGTTATCACTTTCGGTATTAAAATCGATTACATGACTGGACTAAAATATTGTCAAATAAATATAGATACAAGAAAAGCAACTTTAAATAAAAGCAACACACTGCAACTAAGGGCATTAACCAGTTGCCACGGCAACTGGTCAATGATGTCATGTCAACGATAATCCATCCTTGCTTTCATAATAATTAAAGAGATGATTTGATCGTTTCAAGGAAAGGTATAAAAACTTAGCACCAAAGTGAAAACAAAATACTCCCACTATTTAAAAAAAACACAGAAATTCTCAATTCTTTTAAAAAAGACTTGAGTTTTAAAAGCAACAATCTACAAAATGGCTACCGAAAAATTTCTAGACTACTGTCTGAATTTTTGTACACACGGCTCACACTTTTGGTATTACAAACCAGACACATTTTTGTTTCACGCGCTGGGCTGAAAAATCTTCACAATCTTTAAGAGGAGAAATAAGAATACAAAAGTTGCAGGAGAAATTTACAGATTTAGGCTGCAGCAGAATATGTACATTTTTGCACATTTAGTTGTTTGAATACTGTGACCATTACAATGGGCTTGAGAGAGACTAGTACAAGACTTGGCATATATCCTTTTATATAACTGACATACAGATCCTAGTCATTTGATTGGTGGAACTCACATCACGTGGCATTCATTATTTCTCCCATTCATGCCATGGCTCAAAAAGTACTATCCGCCCATGGGGAATGGGAAATACTATTCACCAGTTAGGATCATGACGCGGTATTTGTGTGCAAATGCATGCTGGTGTGCGCGTTCAGCGTTGCGCGTAGCGCGTATTGTTCCAAAGAGCCAGCGCTGCAGCGTTGGGTTCAAACATTTTCGTGAAGGGGTGGTTTGGAAGAGACAAATACATTTATTTTCCTCCAGGTTTGTATTAAAATAAAAGTTCAAATATATCAAATGACAAGGATCTATATGTCAGTTATATAAAACAAATATTGAGTGGCTTTAAATTGTGAAATGGGAGGAATATTATCGCTCGGTAAAATCTGGACTTTTCCATTTCACTCGGCTCCGCCTCGTGTAATGGAAAAGTCCAGATTTTACCTTGCGATAATATTCCTCCCATTCCACGCTGAGCCACTCAATATTTGTATAAAGGCTGTGTTTGAATTCGGGCGATTCACAATGCAGAGCGCCACCAATAGTTTGCCACGGAGAATTCATTTTTCCCAGTGCATTGTGGGAGATGGTCGACAAATTCACAGCGCGGGACATTTGAAATTGTTCGGGTTTTTTTTCGGTCAGTAGTTTCGTAAGCGTATTATTTGAGTACCTTTGCCCTTTCCTTTTCTTTGTATCAATATGGTGTTTTTGGTAAGGCGGCAGAACGCTATGCTCCAATCCTTAACAAAATAGCTCAAGTTGTCTACTGATACTTGTTCAAATGGGCCGTGTTTTGTCGACCGTAAAATTGAAAAATGGACTCTCCGTGGCAAACTCTTGGTGGCGCAGTGCATTGTGAATCGCCTGAATTGTGTGCCCTCTGGGACCGGCTTCACTAAGACTGCCTCGTCTTGTTGAAAACAGTTTGGAAAAAAAAGAGAAGAATTTAAATAATGCTGACACTCTGTCTATACTACTACCCCCGATCAGCAGGCTTATAGTCATTCCCAGTTCCACCTTAACTCTAAGAAGAGAAACATACTAACATATCGTCGCGTCAGTGCAACAAGCTTGTAACTCGATTCTGCAACAAGGTCGTATCTCGCACAAATACGCTCCATGCAACAAGTATCTCGACGTCCATTAACTTTGTGTGTACATCCGGGTTATTTTAAGTGCGATTTTAAGCGACATTCTTAAACTCGCGTTTTGCGTTTATGTCATTTTAGGAGATACGACCTTGTTGCACTGATGTGATATGTACATCTGGGTCATTCTATAAATTTTAGGTTCAATGTTTGACTTTTTTTTTCCTGTTCCTGTTAACTTGATACTTTGTAAGTTGCCATACAAATATCATAAGTATCATGTTGGACAGGTAGTTTGCTATTCATAATCACTCTTGGAGGATGACTGCATTAATCCTAACCCTGCAGTGTATTTTGGCTAGAGACCTTGCCAAACGCGGCAACATGCAACACTTGTCTAAAACAAGCCAGCCCAGTGCAGCAAGACCCATCAGGTCAAAAGCTTCAAGGCCAAACTGCCTCAGAGTCTGTGGTCACCCAACGCTGCAGGATACAACTGTGGCATTGTTCAATAGGACTATTGTTTCAGAAGTGGCCGTTTATGCACTGGTGTTGGTAGCTGAATGCATCAAAGTGCACCAGACTTTTCCACCTGATGCACTGTGTTGCGTCTGGCAGGGTTTGGGGTAAACTCAGTGCATCCAAAACTAGGAAATCAAAGATTTCAGGTGTAATATTTATAAAATGACCCATCTGCATTCGGTGAAATCTACTGAACACTGTGGACTATCATCTGAAAATAGCTACGCACAGTTGCTTTAACCCACCCTGCTTTTTTGGCCTAAAGTGCTTGCACGTTGGTTAGTAGGGTTCTTGCTCTTCGTATCTTAGATGACAGTAGAGACACATAGAGAAGACCAGTCCAAAAATCTGTCCAAAACAAATAAGAAATAACACACTTTAGAACCAAATAATCAAATGTAAAACCCAATATTTACTAGCTTTACTTGAGTAAACCTCTCTTCAAGATCTCAACAAAATGGTTAATGTGGGTCAAGTCACTGCATAGTACCCACTTACCCACAGCATAATGGTCATAAATTCTAATGATTTACCCTTAAAGGGAAAATACAACATTTGCAAACATCGAAAAATAAAACTACCAAGTTTTTACGAAATACCTTACTAGGCTGTTGGTAAATGACAGTCTAAAGCATGCTGTAAAATTAAGGCACCTGGTGTGAGTCATTTTTAAGAAAAATTGTACTTTTGTATACATTTCCAACGGTGGTGGGCCGACAAACCTAACTGTTTATCAACTACTGATCCAAAATTACCATGTTTTTTTTCAGTCCAAATTTTGTTTGCTATTGGCTCCATGTTCATGAACGGGTGCAGGCTAGCTACCGGTAGACTGGTTCCCTTACCTTACAATTTTCGGGCATTTTTGATCCATTTCATCTTTAGTGGAGTCAGGGAACCAGACTACTTGAACATTTTTGTTTTTCTTGGTTTTCCAGCATTTTCGAACACAAAACTTCAAACATGTCAGTGTTACAATATTTGATCTATCATACATGTACTAACCCCCCAAATAGTTCATTTCTGAAAATTACAGTAAAAAATAATGTACATTCCCTTTATCCCCAGGTTATTCGAGGAATATTTGTGAATTCTTATAAAACCCTCAAATGGGCAGAAACAATGGTACAGCATTTGAACTGCTTTGAAGGGGAACTGGCCCCATGTAAAGTACTAGCGGCTAGGCTCTACCTCCCTCAATCCTACGAAACCCTCCAAAAACTTCCAAAAACCTCCAAATAAATTTTAAAAGGATGAAGGATTGTTAGCGCTTAATGTAAACCTGACGACTATGAATTTAAACTCACCTGCACTCCTGCGATTGCCATGCATACTGCACCTATGATGGCCAGATGTGCACTGAAGTAGTCAGTCAGTCGATCCACACAGCCCTGTAACATCAACAATGAACAGAATCCACCAATCAACACACCAACAACATACATGCATGTGTGGATCAACAAATTATCAACCAAAATCAACTCTGGAACACTGCACTGGTGATGGCCAGATGCGCAATGAAATGGCTCTGTAACATCAACCAATCAACAGAATCCACTCATCAACACATCAAATAGTGATGGCCAGATGTCCACTGAGATAGTTGAACAGACCATCTACGGAGCTCTGCAACATCCACAGAATCCACTTATCCAAGAAATCAATGACCAATATCAACTAATGCAAACTACACTAATGATGGCCAGATGTCCACTGAAATAGGTGGTCAGTACATCTGTGACATCAATCAATCAAAAGAATCCACTAATCAACACATCAACTAATGATGGCCAGATGTCCACTGAGATAGATGAACAAACCATCTACGGAGCTCTGCAACATCCACAGAATCCACTAATCCAAGAAATCAATGACCAATATCAACTAATGCAAACTACACTAATGATGGCCAGATGTCCACTGAAATAGGTGGTCAGTACATCTGTGACATCAACCAATCAACAGAATCCACTCATCAATACATCAACTAATGATGGCCAGATGTCCACTGAGATAGGTGGTCAGTACATTTGTAGCATCAACCAATAAACAAAATCCTCTATGAACAGAATCCACCAATCAACACAACAACAACATACATGTGTGGATCAACAAATTATCAACCAAAATCAACTCTGGAACACTGCACTGGTGATGGCCAGATGCGCGATGAAATAGCTCTGTAACATCAACCAATCAACAGAATCCACTCATCAACACATCAACTAATGATGGCCAGATGTCCACTGAGATAGTTGAACAGACCATCTACGGAGCTCTGCAACATCAACAGAATCCACTAATCCAAGAAATCAACGACCAATATCAACTCATGCAAACTGCGCGAATGGCCAGATGTCCACTGAAATAGGTGGTCAGTACATTTGTAGCATCAACCAATAAACAAAATTCTCTAATCAACACATCAACAGCAAATATCAACTAACGCACATTGCTCCAATGAGTGATGGCAAGATATCCACTGAAATAGTTGATCACCACCCTGTAACATCAACCAATCAACAGACTCCACTAATCCACAAATCAACAACCAATATCAACTTGTGCACAATACATCAATGATGGCCAGATTTCCACCGAAATAACTGGGCAGTCAATGTACAAAATATATGTTAGATATACACTCAACTCGTCAACTAATCAACAAAATCACTTCATTCAAATTTAAGAAATCTGAAGAACGTTTGCCATAAAATAATTTCAACAAATCTTCTTTGTTTTTGACAAAAACCATTAACACAAGATGTACATGTAACCTAAGCTTTCAAAGTAATTAGCAACCAAAACAAAAGATTTCTCAGTCATGACTACACTTTTAAGCTTTTTTTTTTACAGACCCATCCTTAAAACAAAAATTTTTGACAAATTTTGGTCACATGAAGTTGAAAACTTTGCAGACTTACAGTATGATAGATGTTGGAGGGGTGGTCTCGCACAGCGCAGTAGCCGCTCTCCGATTTACAGCAGCTGTCCGGTGAGCTCAGGTTACCGGCTTCCCCACTGATTTTCCATGTGGTTAGCTGGTAGTCCGCATAACCGGCTGCACCGCAACAACGAAACTGAACACGAAAATTTAAAAAAAGGAGGATGATACAACATGAAAGTCGGATAGCAGAGTAAATGAAGAAAAAGGAAGCGTGAAGTGCTATTTGGTTAGGTGCGACTCGAGAATGCCAGTCTATATTAAGTGTTAAGGATAGATTGGAGAAGTTTGATTTCAATCTTACCGTTCTCTGGAGATTATCGTAGGCCAGTGAGAAGCCTTCCTGGTCTTTCATGCCGTAGTTATCCACCAGTGTGCCGTTAAGACACCGCTCCAATTCCGTGTTGACCTGTGCGCGTACAAGAATAACCAGGACGGAATAAAAAAACTGCTGAGGCTTTCTAAAGCATCCACCCAGAAGTAGTACAAAAGTTTGTCACGAGCCAATGTGGCCCATCAGGCCGGCGTTTATCTCCGGTTTCAGTAGCATGAACAACTGAGAATATTTCTATTCCCCCTGGATGGGATGCTAGTCCATCGCAGGCTACTCCCCAGCTAATGCCGGTACCCATTTATACTCCTGGGTGGAGAGAGGCAAGTGGGGGTGAAGTGGCTTGCCCAAGGACACAACATATGACCAGCAGCTGGATTCGAACCCCTGACCCTCTGATTAGAGTCACGAACCCTAACCACTAGGCTACACTTCCACCCAGAAGTGACCATGACATATTTTGTTTACTGAAAGCAATATATCTGATTCAGTCAATTTTTCTTTTCTCTTACCGGCCTGGTGATGGACTTATGATTTACTCGTGACTGGACTTGTGATGGACTTGAGACGGACTCTACACTACAATACTGAATACAAACACTTACGTATTCTCTATAGATGTACACATAAATGCCGACAACAAGCTCTCCAATACAAAGGATGACCAGAAGCGTAAAGTACTGCGAAGAGACGAAAACAGAGAAAGAATTTACTCCATCGTAACAAAATTTGTAAATCCCTTACATGACTTATGTAATACGTAAGAGCTTCAGCAGATAGTGCTTTGTGACCAAGCTATCCGCTCCGTTCACAAGTACTCCCTCAACAGCAAAGAAAGTACAGTTGGGGGTGACTGAACGACGCCATCTTGCCTGACTGCAATATTTTGCCGCGAAGTGCGGCCACTGCGTGTACATGTACATAGTAGAAATCCCCTGGTGTACGTGCGTCACACACAAGGAACAGTGCGCGCACGTCAACCAGCAAAATGTATGTGTCTTGCCCATGGGACATCGTTGCTAGGTAAAAGGGTGCCCTCTTTTGTTGGCGTACGGAGCCCATAGGGTTGTGCATTTACAGGTAGTGCGGGAATCAGGGACCCGATTGAAACAAACAAGAAGCCACACGGGTACCCCAGTACCTGTTAAAGAAACCAAACCCCAAATTTATATCTGGGAAGTTACTGTACAGATTGTTCATAAAGGTCTGCATGATAATACCATAGTACCACATGTATCAATACAGGAAGATACCAGTACACACTGTGATCTGATTCACAGTGCCCTGTGGAGACATGTGCATACATGTAATAGACTTTTATCATGCTGCAACCACTTCAGTCATGCTCCCTGTATCCAGTAACAGTACTGAATGATAATGTTTGTGCAAAAAGGAACCAGACTATTTTGCCTTCCAGCCTTGCTTTGGTAACGTTGATTTGAATGGGAACAAATGAAAATGGCCCCAACATGACAATGATCTATAGGGAACAAAAGATAGTATACCGGTATGTCTCCATAGGGCAATTTCAATAGGTAAATACGTCTCCACAAGGTTATCACGAAGTAGATGGATTTTACTCAAAAACTAGGCATTTCCAAAGTGTGTTGATCCATCGCAAACTGAATATTTTATGTAGGGATATTAAGTCCGAATTTTAGCCCAGGAAATGATTCTGGTTATTAAAAAAACGGGGGCATTTTGAAACTAGATTTTCAATATCAAAATTTTAGTACACAAGAACAAAGAAACGACTCTACAAGGATACAAATTCCAGTATCTGTGTACAGTGAGCTCAAGCTCAATATGTAGATTTACAGTGTAAATTGAATTTTTGCAAGCATCATCATCATGAATCTGTTTTGTTTTTCCATGTAGTCTGGTTTTCATTTCGAAAATCTCCGCCAATGACATTCAAAACCTTTCTTTTTCATTGTCGGAGAAGTTACTATTAAAGTAATAGGTGAAGCTGGTTATGGGTACTCAATTCCATCATCTGGAACAAGTTCCTGACATCAGCACAATTTTTCAGAGGCAAATTTCTCAAATTTGAATGGACATGTTGAAATTGTTTTAAGATATTCCTAAACTTCAAGACCACGGTGGTAAATGGTGAAAATGACATTGAAAATAAAGCTCAAGTTAAGAAGCAGCGGCCATTTACAGAAGAATGGTCAAAAGCTAGTTTGTCCACATCTATGGCAGTCGTGTAGACCTAATTACAATTATTGTAGTTCTTTGTGCGTTCAGCGCTGCTGTGTTGACCATATCTCACAGACTTGCGTGCGGACAAACTGGTTTTTGACCACCTTTCTTTAAACCATCGCCATTTCTTAATTAAGGTTTTATTTTCAGCGCCGTTTTCATCATATACCACGAAGATGCTGTAGTTTAGGAATATCTTGAAACAATTTTAACACGTCTCCCCAATTCCAAAAAATCTGCATCTGAAAAAGTCCAAACATTTTTTGGACCACCCTGTATTACTACATGTAGCTCTAAGACATTGACTTACAATGAGCAGGCAGCATTTCTGCTCCTGTTGGGCACCGAAGCATCCGAGGGCAGCGATGATGATGATGACCCCGCCTGTGATGATCAAGACGTAGGTCGCGATGGTGTACAGGTCATCGCACAGCAGGCTGGCATACTCCCACTTCTTGAGTAGGGTCCAGAGCCCGATGCCGGTCACTCCAGCTCCGCCCAGCTGCAAAGACATCCAGATAAGACTAGAATAAATGTACATCTCCCCTCTGTTTTACGATAGATCGTTTGTACTGCAGCCGTCTTGGACGTCTGTAATTTTGTTCAACAGGAAAAGGTTAGAGTAGACATCAGGGCCCAATTTCAAGGCTCTGCTAACCACAGAATTCTGCGCTTACGATCACCATTTTGTGCTAACCAAGCAAGCAGAAATATTCTGTGCTAACCCTGTAAGCACAGAATCCTTAGTTACGGGATGTAGGCATATGCGCAGAAGCCCAAATTCCTCGCTAATCTGAGAAATACACTGACCGTAAACACATTATTTTCTGCTATAGTAAGCATGGATTTTTCGCTAACAGTAAGCAGAGTCAAGAAATTGGGCCCAGGTGCATCTGTTGTTCATGAATGAATGAAGCAAGCCACACCTCCAAGATGGCTGCCCAATGCAATCAAGGGCGGATCCAGGGGGGGGGGCCAAAGGGGGCCATGGCCCCCCCCCCAAAACGAAACCAATTTTTTTTTTTTTTAATGTGACATCGCAATAAAGGCAGGCAATGAGTACACCACCATCTTTTCCTCAAAATAAATTGGTTAAAGTGGTCAGAAATTGCCTCAGATCGCACCACAGAGCATCTAGAATCCAAAAATTTTTCGGGGCCCTTAAGCGGGCCCCGAACCCCACGCCGTAATTTTTTAGACCCACTTTTTGGGGGACCAAAATTTGTTTTGGCCCCCCCGAAAATTGTGTTCTGGATTCACCCTTGAATGCAATCTGTCTATAGATGAAATATGTGATGTCACATTTTGAGGGGCGTATTTTAGCTCATGTGCATGTACTTATGTATTACTTACGGCTCACTACCCTGCTAGCCCCTCCCCCTTCAATATATTCTGGCGGTACTTTTATTCAATATTTAACTAGCCCCGCCCTCTTTCAGTTTATTAAAGTGGTATTAGCTGCTCCCCTTCAAAAATGCACTTAGCCCATTCCTCATTCAATATATTGAAGTGGTCCTAGCCCCTCCCCCTTTCAATATATTAAAGAGGCACCAGACACTCCTCTTTTCAATATACAGTGGAACGCCGCTATACCCAACACCGCTATACCGAACATTCGGCTATACCGAACATCATCCTTGGCTCCCGGTTTTAATGTACATAAGGTATCGAATATTGTTGTAGAAAAAAAGTCAACAGATTAACAAAAAATCTACCGGATGTATTAAATGCTATTTGGGTCACTTTAATTCCTGAACATCAAACCACCCATGGCATGGTTACATCCTGTTTGAATGTTGAAGAGCGATTGATGGCTATTATTTTCCCAAGGAATAAAAGGGAAAACCACCCATTTCTGAGTTTCCTGACCACTCCTCATGCGGCCGCGGGATGTGAAAAATACCAGTTCACTATTGGTCAAAAGAGGGTACTGCCGATTCAAAATCGCTATACCGAACAACCGTTATTACGAACACTTTCTGTAAGATCCCGCGATGTTCGATATAGCGGCGTTCCACTCCATACATTCAAGTATTACTTGCCCCTCCTCACTCAATATCATAATGATCTACAAGTAATCCCTATCCTTTTAATGTATACGAGTGAAACACCGCTATAACGAATACTGCACTATAAACACATTTTGCTATAACGAACATCCCCTTTGCCTATTGAAACAGTAAATTCTATTATAATGCACAATCACTATAACGAACGACCACTATAAGGACTATTTTTAAGGACCCCATCGTGTTTGTTATAGTGGCGTTCTACTGTATACATCTCATCCTTTCAATATAATGCATGTCAAAGTGGAACTAACCCCTCCCCTTTCAATATTAAAAAAGCTACATGTGCACATTTAGATTTATCTATGCACAGATGTAGCTCTGCTCTATGCTTGCAAATTCCGATGCCTGCTCCCTTTTTTTTGAAAGGATAGATTTATTCCTCTGACGAAACGACTTACCAAGAGAATAAAGTTGAAGATGAACAAGATATACTTGAGCAGGGAGATGCCACAGCAGGGCTCCTTATCATACGGCGATCCCATGGCGACGACCTCAGATGACCTCAAGCTGAGCGAGATGCCTTCATGCACAGGGAGAATCTCTTATCTGCAGGCAAACATTCCAAGAAAATGCCAGGAATGTGTAGGTATCAGATGGCAGGGTAAACGCTTGGGGTGAAGGAAAATCTACATGTTCAAGTTCAATTGACAATGATTGAGAAATTTTGGGGGATTTCCTTCGGGCAAAGTGCCACAATTTTACCATGTAAGCATCCTTCCCCACCCCTACCCCTCCCCCCAAAAAGGGCAGAGGGGCGACAATAGAGGTTTCTTAAGCTGTTTTTATTTAAATAAAGTTTGGTGTGCAGACATTTTTGACAACTTCCGGTATGGACAATAAGAGTTGCTGATTTTATTATAGAGAATGATTTTCTTGTTAAAATTTTGTACAGCAAACTGCTTTGCACATTTTGTGTGTGTAATTTAAACCTCCTTTAGTTACAATGTACATGTTTATTTCTATTTAGATACTGCATCGCATTATAAAGTTCAAACTGACTCACATTTTGTGCTGAGAATTAGGGAAAATCATTCAACTGTTATTGCCTGTGTTTTTTACACCAAGTTAAAGGAAATGTTTAACAGGAAAAAATATCACAATTTGAACCCCAAATGTTCGGTATACATTAACCATTTAGTGGTGGGATATGCATTTTTTAAAAATAATATTCGGTTTGAAGTTTGGAAACCAGATATTCAAAATCAACCTTATAAAAATGAAGCCTTCCTGTTTTTGTGACACAAGCTAAAAGAAAACAACTGGAACATCTCCCAATTTGCTCCCTGGTCTCTGATTGTAACTGCACTCACTCGCTAGCGATCTTCTTGGTTCATGACTAGCCTACTCATGCGACTGATCAGAGAGTAATTCCCATCCATTTTTTTTTAACATTACAGCTCTGGAGTGTTTTTGTAGAGGCCCAGTAGTCAATAAATCTTGCTACATAACATGTACATTGCATACGGCACCTCACTCGTCACTTTATGTTGGTGTGGCAGTGACCTGAATGTGAACTTTCGGTCAAATCGGAAAACCGCTATTCGGTTTGAAAAAAAAAAATTGGGCTGACCGGATTTTGAAAATTTTAATTTCTCCCTACATTACATGTACCTATATTTAGCTTCAGCTGCTATTCAAGTACATGTACGTGTTGGTGCATGTGCTGTACATGTGTGGTCGTTAAAAATGTCAAAGCACCAGTCATCATTTAACACATTCCATACATTGTACTGTATCTCATACATAAACCACAGATATGTACAGTACATACTACTAACCTGAAGAATATCTCTTTGCAGTACACACACATACATAAACAGTGTGTGGGTAAATTGATGAATCATACACATTGTAGCGTGAAGAAATTGCTAAGAGCAGCATAGTGTATCAATAACAAGCGTGAAATATGAACCATGGAGGCGAAGGACTACAATTTTCACTGAATTTCTGGAATGTGACCGCGCCGCATTCGAGAAATTGAAATTATTCAATTTTGCCTACATGTACATGTACATCCATGTACTATTTTACATACTATACCCTCTAGTATGGGTATGTAGCGTACACGTGGTGCTAATAATGAATATGATTCAAACTTGATGTGATGTAAAATTTCGTCGAGTCTATGGTTTAAAGGGAAAATACAACATTTGCAAACATCTAAAAATGAAATGATCAAATTATCACGAAATACCTTACTGGATTGTTAGGGAATGACAGTCTAAAGCATCCTGTAAAATCGTGGCTCCTATGGTTTGGTGACATTTTCAAGAAAAATTGTATTTAACTGGCTTTTTTTCAAAACTGCTCTAATTTTTCATATTTTTACCTGGTAGTTATTCCACATTTCCTTTGCAATTGATTACAAACCTGTGAGCAAAATTGCAGCAAAAGCAAATGTTGTATATATTCCCTTTAAAGGGAAGATACAACATTTGCAAACATCAAAAAACAAAATGATCAAATTATCACGAAATATCTTACTGGATTGTTAGGGAATGACAGTCTAAAGCATCCTGTAAAATCGTGGCTCCTGGTGTGCTGACATTTTCAAGAAAAATTGTATTTTTCCAACGCTGGTCAGCCGACAAGCGTTGGAGAATTAAAACTGGCTTTTTTCAAAACTGCTAATTTTTCATATTTAGTTATTCCGCATTTTCTTTGCAATTGATAACAAACCTGTGAAGGGGTACAAGCCTGCTAGACTGAATCTCTGACCTTACAATTCCCAAAGACTATTATTATTGCTCCGTTTCATTTTAGGTTGGGTCAGGGAACCAGACTACAAGTTGGTTTTCTTGGTTTTCCCAGCATCTACAAGCCCAAAATATGAAACAAGTCAGTGTAACAATATTTGCTATAACATGCTATTCCTCCAAATCCATTAATTTCTGAAAATTACAGCACAAGCAAATGTTGTATAATTCCCTTTAAAGGGAAAATACAACATTTGCAAACATCAAAAAATAAAACTAACAAATCATTTTGAAATACCTTGCTGGACTGTTAGTGAATGACAGTGTAAAGCATCCTGTAAAATCATGGCACCTGGCATGCCTGGTATACTGTTATTTTCAAGAAAAGTGGGATTTTTGTATCAATTTCCAACGCTGATCGGCCGATCAGCGTTGGAAAAAAATGTTTTTTTCAAATACTGGCCCCAATTGACCATCGCATTTGTTTGCAATCGATTACAAATCTATGAACGGGTACGAGCCAGCTAGACTGGTTCCCTGACCTTACAATTCCCCAATGTATGTAAACTGCTGTTTCTTCTTATATGGAGTCAGGGAACCAGACTACAGGAAAATGATTGTTTTTCTTAGTTTTTATAGCATTTTCGAACCCAAAACCTCAAAAAAGTCAGTGTAACTATATTTGCTATATATTTCCAACCCCCCAATTCCATCCATTTCTGAAAATTACAGCAAAAGCAAATGATGTATATTCCCTTTAAAGTGCATGCACTGCTGAGTGCCTGGCAATGATTGATTTCATTCAGTAACAATGACATAATGAAGGCAAAAAGGCTCACTCATTAATGCATATCCCAGCAAAACAAAGGCATAGGGTTAGCCCTCTATTATCAGAGGGCAATGGCTGCTATGCAAAAGGTCTATAGAACCAGGGTGACCGTTTTAGCCGATTTTCAGCTAACTTTGACGGATTTTTTGTTAAAAATAAAAGTTTGACAGAAAATTTGACATGGCTATTTTTGGCAGATTTCTGACAGAATTCTGCAAAAATGGTTATTAACAGAAAACCATAGCAAATTTGAAAAAAAATGGTACATTTGTTTACAAAATTTTCAATCTTTTCAAACAAACCCTTGCATAATGGGACAGGTTGGCTGGTCTAGGTGCTGAGGTAATTCACTGGGAAACGGACTTCACGCCGCAACCGCGTTTTGCCTGAAATGAACGCAATAATTTCATAACATCTTTATGTGACTGTAATTTGTTAATAATGAAATTTGAACCTTAATTAAGGCAGTACTGCAAATCTGCATGTGATTTTAAGGGTTTTTAGTGTATTTCGAGGAAATCTGGGGAATTTGGCAGATTTTTGATAAATCTGACAGATTTTTGAAGCACATTTAGCAGAATTTTGCCATGACCTTACGGTCACCCTGTATATAACTGCAGTACAAGTCGCAGCATTTCAAGGACACCCTATCTATCAAAGCCCTTCAACAGGTTTTGACAGTTATGTGGTTCAATTCATCTATTGGGGTGATATGCCTGTTGGTGACAAGTACAAAAGCTATAGAAGAGGAAGTGGGTTGGTTTTGGAGGGTTTGTGGCAGTATTATCAGTATCAGTCGGAGGACAATACCATTACTTTATTAACCATTAAAATTCTCAGAAATGTCTGTGTCCAAATACCTTTCCTTATGGCACATTAGGCAGAAGCATGCATCACATTTACTGAGTAAAATCTACAGCACAGTATCTACTTATAGCACAAATACAACTCGATAACGCATTTTGTTGGATGATGATGTGGCCGTCCTTAGACAAATTATTTCAATTGCTTCATCAACATTCTTGTCCGCAGTGATTCATCATCCAGCGTCTTGCAGCAAACAGATTCAAGACATGCCGAATCTGGAATTTCTGGTTCACAACCGGGCACAGAGTAAACAAAATATTAGCCTACATACCCAGTACATACATGTACAAAATTGACATGCATAATAACGATGTTGATCTTCTATGAAACCAGTTAGGTGTTTCAATGTATGAATTTAATTTAAAACCTTGACAGGTAATCTGCTGTTTTTCCCTCCAGTTTTGTGTACGTGCTATTGCAAATATGCAATTGATTTGTTCTATGATAGAAAAACATAAGAAATCCTTATCATTATAAGCAGTGTGCTGGCACAAGCATGTAAGAAGGAAAAAACAAGCATTTAAGAAAAAAACGAACTTACGGAAACAACAATAAAATCATTATTCTAAACATTTCCTTCCTCATCAATTGAGGAAGAGGAATGAAAAAAAATAAATCAATTTCGACCTTTTTTTTAACGCAATAATATAGAGGTTTATTTCAAGCATGTTTGTACGTGTTCTACATAACCCGGACTGGTTGTTTCGGGTGCCAGTCTATATTCTTGTATTGCATGTTTTCGATACCAAGCTAAGTTTTGTAACTCTCATACAAAGTACATGTATTGAGAGTCCCAAATTTTCAGACTACCTGGTTTTATTCTTATAGTCAAATGCTACACTTTTTCGTGCACAATTTGAGAGCTTCCCTGAGAAATTTTTCAGCTCACATTTCTTCTTTAAAATTGGTCGAATGTCAGCCATTCCGCTTTTTAAGTTTATACACATACACTTTAGATCTTTGTCAATTTTCAACAACTGCAGAAGCATGCAAATCCCATTCAGCAGCCAGTTTAAGCCCGGTTCTGCGTGAAAGAGAAAGCGAACGCGAATTTGTGACGCCGTGGCAAGTATTCGCGCTGCGAATTCGTAAAAGTTCAACATATTTCAACTCGGGCGAAAAAAATTTTGCAGTGAATGTTTTATGACGTCAAATTCGCTTCGCATTCGCTTTCGCATGAATTATGAACCGGGCTTTGGACTGGCCTAAGTAAAAACTGGATCAGTGCATTTCAAACATTTGAATATGCGATCAAAAAAGTAAGCGTAATCGAATACTGTACAGTATTCGAAAATTTGTATTTTACCCCAAAAAACATTTAAAATTAAAGGAAGACCTATACATGTAATTTAAAAGTACATGTAACAGCAACAGCAAATGTTGTACGGTACATGTACATTGTACACGCATATTATTACCGCAAGTACGAACAGTCAGTCAAGTAATTTACCATTACACCTTGTCAAAAAACATAGAAGACTCTACGGAATGCAGCTGGATTACCATAAATCACCATCAAAATAAAACTGCAACGACTATAAGTTATTAAACTACACCAGGATGATTCTGGCGACTGACAACCTTGGCAGTTATTCCAATAATTTAAACAAAACACGCCGCGGATTGATTCTTCCCCGACCTTAGACTTGATCAAGTCCCCACACTACAATCATACCAACATTGCCTGTTATCAGGTCATCAAGCCTAAAATTCCTCCTGGGGGTGTCCCTGTCTAAAACAGTTTGCTTATTTTAAAACTCTTTTTTTTTTAATGATCTTTCATGTGCATGGGAAAAAAATGATGCGTACCGTACATATGGTGTTTAAGTACATTTGTACAACACTTATGTACGGACTTGGACAAGTCTAAGCTGCCCCTGTGACACAGCCACATTCCAATCTTTCCTATGTGTATTTTCATGTCTTAGATCATAGACTTGCGTCAGTCAATCAGTGTTCCAAGCCCACTGTTGTCTTCAGTCTCCCAAACTCCACAGAGTTATTGTAAATTCATATATGTACCTTTACCTATTCCTAGTCGTTGAGGGCCCGTCACGTGGGTGTTTTAAACAGCTACTAAAAAAGTATTAAAAACTTCTTTAATTCTGCGCTACATCAATGTACATCGTGCAGTACGCGCCACGCAAGTGGACCAACCTCCATAAACAGAGATTTTTAGCACTACGTGCGAGAGGCACATACATGTACCACAGACATGGCCAGAGGGGTGTTTCACAAAACATGAGGTCAAAGTGTTGAACAAAATCGACTTTTTGACCGAAACGTATACATGAACGGGAACATGTGTTCATCGTTGGTTTACCCCAAAATGTCCATAAATAAATTAAAAACAATTGACACCCTGCCCTATATCCCCTGTTGGTACAAGTACTAAGTTGTGCACGTGGTCCATAGAGGAGTTTATATTTCCCTGTGCTCTTTAAAGGGAATATAAAACATTTGCAAACATCGAAAAATAAAACTACCAAGTTTTTACGAAATACCTTACTAGGATGTTGGTAAATGACAGTCTCAAGCATCTTGTAAAATTATGGCACCTGGTGTGAAGTCATTTTCAAGAAAATGGTATTGTTGTAAAAATTTCCAACGGTGGTCGGCCGACCACCGTTGGAAACCTAACTATTTTTCAACTTCTGCTCCAAATTAACCATTATCTTTCAGTCCAAATTTTGTTTGCTTTTGGTTACATGTTCATGAACGGGTGCAGGCCGGCTAGACTGGTTCCTGATTACCTTACAAGTTTCCGGCATCTGCAAATTGATCCATTTTATATTTAGTGGAGTCAGGGAACCAGACTACTTGAACGTTTTTGTTTTTCTTGTTTTTTTCCAGCATTTTCGAACACAAACCTTCAAACATGTCAGTGTAACAGTATTTGATCCATTGTATTATACTAACCCCTCAAATAGTTCATTTCTGAAAATTACAGCAAAAGCCAATGATGTACATTCCCTTTAAATAAATTAAAAACAATCAACACCCTGCCCTCTATCCCCTGTTGGTACATGTACCGGTACCTAGGTACTAAGTTGTGCACATGGTCCATAGAGGAATACATGTATATTTCCCTGAGCTCTTTAACAAATTTGTTCTCCTAATATACTGGGTGAGTCAAAAAAAACTGAAACCAATAATTATGTCAGGACCATGGTTTTAGTACAGTTCTGAATGTAGCACTTTCAAAATCTAGGATGTGAAAGCCCAATTCATAAGCTTTCTTTTAGTACAAGAATCATTCAAATCACTCATACTGTACGTGTACTTTTTAAGTTACGGAGTTTTAAACACAACCACCGTTTAAAAGTTCTGTCCACGGATCACAAAAATCTAAGTGTTCTTTCAGCAAAACAAAAATAAATCATATAAGGATGTATGTGAATTGTTTTTGTTTTGCCGAAAGAATGCACACCTTCCGTGTGATCCATGGACAGAACTTTAAAACGGTGGTTGTGTTTAAAATTCCATAACTTGAAAAGTACATGAGCGATTTGAATGATTCTTGTACTAAATGAAAGCTTATGAATTGGGCTTTCATATCCCAGATTTTGAAAGTGCTACATGCAGAAATTCACTATTAAAACAATAGTCCCGACATTTGGGTTTCGTGTTTTTTTACTCACCCTGTATTGTAAAAAAATTTTGTCTTAATTTTTTTTGGTATCTGCAACCAGAAAGCTGTTTATTTTGGTCACAAACAGATTGCCTTGGCTTGGGAACAGACTGGCTCCCGGTCTTTACATTATCGATAGATTCGATACCGATTGTGGGGTGGGAAACAACCTACATTTGTAGGCCCTACCTCACAACATGCTCACAACATGGAGGTAGCTCACAAGAATGGAATTATTGATTTTTGGCCGCAACTGGTTCAAAATTTGTAACGTATAATTCAGTAAGTAAAGGTGGGCTGATTTTTTAGTCGATGTCTCATTCAAAAGTGAAATAGGTAATCCTTACCTTTAGGACCCCTTTCCTATATAAGGTTAAAAGACTCACCAAAACAGCTGACTAAATGACCCTCAAAAGTGACATTCTGATATTTCTTGGCACATTCGACCATTTGGCAATATGACACCTCTTCAGCTCTTGAATGTCAGCAGGTTTAATTTTGTACTTGTAGAAAGAGGGCAGGGCTTTGATTTATGAGGGGTAAAAAACGACGATGACAAACATAAGATATTATTTAAAATGCAAGATGGTGAACTGCAAAAAAAAGGTAGGAAAGTCACATTTTCTTTGAAAGTGCTTTCAAAATTACAACTAACATGAGTTTATCTGAAGTAAAAAGACTCTAGCCTGCAAAAGTCAGTTTTGAACAGTAAGGACCTAATGTCCTAAAAGTAAGGATTACTGTGAAATAAACTTTTTTAACAATTGCTAGAAAATAGCAATTAAAAAGAATTTTATTTACGTAAACATCATTAATATTTATAGAATAAAGATTTCATTTAGCTTTAATTAAAACTTAAGGGGCGCCCTCAATGTGTCAGACCAAAGTTGTGCAGTAACAGCGCATCTGTCCGTCAACTTCTCGCCCATGCCCAGCGAGTTACGCTAGTTTTTGTCCTTCATAAGAAGAGTCTCATATCCCTTATTTGTATCCTCAAAACAACACGTCCTGCATGTTTCTACTTACCTATTAAAGTTAAAAAGAATGACGAAATCTCCGATATTCACGCCAGTTTCAGTCACACAACGCAGATACAGCGTCAAGTCTCCGACATGACAGGCGGCGCTTAACCTTGCTTGTGGTTTATATATGCAAATTTCTACACAAGAATCGATGACGACACTATTTGTGCAGCTGCAGCACGGAACGACAAATAAAAAAACGTGTTTGCTGTACAATGAGCAATGAGAAACAGTCTTCATAGAACCGATTCAGTTACCAGAATTGAATTGAAGGTTTTTATTCATTAATTGGAAAAAGTTTCGCGAACTCTCTCCCTTCCTCACCTCAAGGGTGATCCCTCTGAGAGTGAAAGGGAAGGTGTATGATGCAGTGTTGGAGCAAAGGCTTTGACCCTCAAGGCCAAGGCCAAGGCCAAGGCTTTGACCCTCAAGGCCAAGGCCAAGGCCAAGGCTTTGACCCTCAAGGCCAAGGCCAAGGCCAAGGCTTAACCCTCAAGGCCAAGGCCAAGGTCCTGTTTTATGAAATGACCACTGATATAGAACTAATTATAGTCACATGAGTGACACATCATCACGCAAGGGCGGATCCAGAACACAATGGGGGGGGGGGGGGGCAGAGAAATTTTGGTCCCCCCCAAAAAAGTGGGTCAAAACATTACGGCTTGGGCTTCGGGGCCCGCTTAAGGGCCCCGAAAAATTTTTGGATTCGAGATGCTCAGTGGTGCGATGTGAGGCAATTTCTGACCATTTTAACCGATGTTTTTTGAGGAAAAGATGGTGGTGTACTCATTGCCTGCCTTTATTACGTCACATAAAAAAAAAAGTTTTTTTTGGGGGGGGGGGGGCATGGCCCCTTTTGGCTCCCCTAGATCCGCCCTTATCATCACGAATTGCTCGTTACGAAGAACAACATTTCTTTAATTGCAATCAACATGCTCGCATAGGCCTACACCGTTTTATGACTGCACTGTATCTATTAAAGTATAAGTTCAGGTCTTCAATATGGTTTAACTAAACAATATAATGATTTACTTCTATATTGACATACAATTCTCCCTCCTCCATGGTAATACGATTAAAATGGTAACAGCAAAATTTCGAACAGATTTATCCGGAAAATGCAAAAATCTATGGGCCTTGAAGAGCCTTGACTCAAAATTGCAAGGCCCTGAACCCTCAAGGCCAAGGCCAAGGCTTTTGCCCTCAAGCCTCGAGGCCAAGGCCAAGGCCCTAAAATCAAGCCTTAAGGCAGCCTTAAGGCCAAGGCCCAGCATCAAGGCACTACATCACTGGTATGATGCATGTGTAAGAAAATGCATGACATACGGGAGCGAAACATGGGCAATGAAATCGTCTAGTGTACAGCGCTTGGAAAAGGTTGAGATGAGGATGGTGAGGTGGATGTGCAGAACATCACTACATGAAAGAACGAGGAATGAAATCCTCCTTCAGTCAGTGGGCCTGATGGGGGTAGCAGAGGTTATGAGGATTAACAGGCTTTAGATGGTATGGACATGTGGCTAGGAGAGAGGCAACACACTGGCTCCAGAGAGCTTTCAATTTTGGAGTCACCGGAAGAAGGCCTCGTGGGAGACCCAGAAAAACCTGGAGGGAAACTGTAGAAGAAGATGCCAAAACATCTGGTATCGCTCACATGGACCCCACAGACAGGAAAGCTTGGAGAGCAGCCATTAAGGAAATGAAATGTCCAACCCCACAAAGTGGGACAAATGGACTCTAAACGCTGATGATGATGATGATGAATTTAGAATTAAGTATCTAATGCATTTATTTCATATTTTCACAAATTTAACCACTTAAATAACAAGAACATAATCGACAAAATGTTTTTTTCTTCTTTCTTTATTTCGAAGGCAGCACACGCCAAAAATGATTAATTAAAAAGAACGCACCTTTACAAAAAGGAACATTAACAAAAAAAAAGAACATTAAATACAAGAAATGCAATTTAGACTATCAAACATGACACTACTGAAAGTAAACGATTGACAGTGATTTACAGTGATTTTACAGATGCCCTCTTTGGATAAAAAAAACTCTGACGAAAATGCATTTACAAATTCTTTCCATCATTAACCCTGCATCCTTCATATAAGGAGTTTAGTGATGAAAGTTAAACCTAAGCTTACTCTTGTCCGATGGGTTTCCCAACAATTGTAGCTAAGGAGTCACCTAAACATCGGGGATAACATGCGGCAAATTCATTCGCAAGTGCACCACGTATTGTCGCCGATTTGTGAATAACTTCCCTGTATAAGCATTGCTAAACTTGGAATTTCACTGCGGAAAAGAATTGGTGAAGTTGATCAGCTTTCCGCTTTCAGTATGCCTATTGCTGATAAAATTGTCCACAGCTTATCCCAGGTATTCAATGAAATCACTCCTAAACAGTCACGGTGCAGTATCTTTAATAGGATATGGCATTTAACTGGTTTTTTTCAGCCTCTAATAGTACGGCAGATAGGTGATGGGATTGTGCCTTTGATGGTACAAGCATGGCATTTGGCACACAGTCAGAGTATGCCATGAGAAAGATATTTGGCTATAGGGCCATCGCATATTTGTCCTTTGAAAAAATATAGGTAGAATAGCAGCCATGTTAAAAGTTGTGAAAATTGCTTGTTATTCTACCTACATTTTTTCAAAGGACAAATCTGCGATTGGCCTAATAGCCAAATATCTTTCTTATTGTGTGCCAAGTGCCATGCTTGTCATCAAAGACACAATTCCCCACAAAATTTCCCCTATCTGACCAACTATAACCATCAAATTGTGAACCTACTTTTAAATAAGTTTTCGTACAGGAATATTGAATACACGGAAAATGAAGCTGGATTTTTAGGAGTCGATCAAGTCAAAAACAATCCTGGAAAAGTTGCGGATAATTTCTCCACACGCTGTTTGCATTTCGGTCAGGGATATCTTGGTGCTTTGAAGCATGACGAGTTCTACTCCGTCACAAAGTGGCTGATGAAATGTCCCTGGAGTAATATCACAGATTCCAACAGACAAAATGAATCCAAATTTCCCACTCAACTTTCCCAGAAGAGTCTGATCAAGATGACTCCCAAGCTGGACCAAAGTGGTGTGCAACCACAGATTATTAACTCTGTTTATGTAACACCGAAGTAAATCCTTGTCATTTGATTGGAGGATTGTAGCCAATTTGTAGGTCACACGGCATTCATTAATCGAATCATTGCACGGCCTACGTCATAAACCGTGCATTTTTGGTTCCATTCACGCTGCATTTTCGTCCAATCCCTTTTGATCTATTGCACACCGCGCACGCTACGACGCGCAGCGGCCCGGCGCTATACGATCTTTGCGCTATTTAGACCATATCATGTGTTATAGCAGTACAAAACTTGCCTTCGAATTTGATGCAGTTGCCTTGATGATTTTCAAGTTTGCATTATTTTTTTTTAAGAACTTACTGGTACAATGTTAATTCTCATTATTGTCAATGATTTGACTCTTAAACCTTTGTTAGCCTTGAACAAGCTGAAAAAAAGCAGTTATGATACAATTTTGTGAGTTTTGTTAGTTCTTAAAGTTTTATCCTCCAATATGACAAAACTCTACTTGGATGTTATATAAAACAAATAATGAATGTTTTGCATTCGTGCAATGGTGAGAATATTTCCATTCGTTGAAAGATATTTAATCTTTCAACTCATGAAAATATTCTCACCATTGCACTCATGAACATTCATTATTTTTATAATATTTCACTCTTTTATTTGTGGTTTTGAGCATACAATTACATTATTAAGTTAAAAGGCATTTAGCACATAATTACAGTTATGAGAAGCGTATTATTCAATCCGACATCACATCTTCGGGTAGGTTCTTATTCTATGTCATACGCATGAGTAAATAGGGCTGTCAACTTTTGAATAATTTAGTATTTGTGACCTGTTCTGTCAAAATCAGACTTTTCTGGGCAAAAGGTCAAAAATGAGATTTTTGCATATTGTAAAAAAATGATCTTTTTCCTTTTAATAGGTGGTTTAATTTTTGAAACCGGTCATTCCTGGACAGAGTTATGCTATTTTGAAGTTCATTGTGTCGAAAAGTAGAAAACGGAGAAAACGGCCCCGAACGTCACAAAACAGTAATTTCTTTAACTGATTTACCTTAACAAATCATCAAAAATACTATATTTAGAGTTCAAATTAGGGTTTCAAACTTTTATAGTATATTTTAGACATGTTCAGGATTACAAATATTCAAAAATTTGAAGATAAAAAAAATCACCCCACAGCGTTTTTTTGCCCTATCTCAATTTCAACCTCTGCCCAGAAGCGTCTGCTTTTGACAGAACAGGTCACATTTGATTACTCATTTGAAATATTCCGAAATTCGGAACTGCCAGCTGCAACTGCGTGCAGCGCCAGTAAAAATTTGCACGAACAGCGTGCCAGGTTAAATTTGCCTGCGGCAATCAATACGGGGTGCTGGAGTGTTTTGTATTTGTATTTTATAACTGTAAAAGGGCTTTAACCTGTTAAAAGGATGTGACAATGAACCGCCATCTACAAAAACATTACCGTAGACAAAAAAAATGGCACCTGACAATGAAGCGCTGCAACTCAAGGATGAAATAACATCACAATCGCGTGTGTAAGTGCGTAGTTTTTTTATTTTCTAATATTCAAACTGGCAAAAAGCTATTCAAATAGTCGGTTGGCGATCGAATATTCAAGTATTTGGTATACAGTGGACAGCCCTATGTGAGTAAACCTTTGTACTTTTATTATTGTTGTGAATTTTAACAATGAAACCTTCACTCAGGTCCAACAGTGCATGGTGTCAATAATATTATGCAATTAGGCAACAACAAAAAATATTCGGTCTCTGGTCAGACCAAAGTTCCGGAATTGACGCGGCCACGTGGCTTTTTTTTTTTTTTCTTCAAGCTTGGATTGTACAGACAAGGTGGGTACTATTTTGCTTTTTTGGTGTCCTCATGTACATTGGTGTCCTCCATAATTTGCCTTGGTGCTTTCGATCATTTGCCTTGGTGCAATTTCCCATTCCTTGGTGCTCTTTGGTAAAAAAAAATTGAGGTGCGGAAATAGAGGGCGCTGTTGGAGCTACCGCGGAACATTTTGGGGAAAAAAAAGATCGACGCGCATGATTAAAATCGACGCGCGCGCTGACCAGAGACCGACTTTTTTTTTTTTTGGCCTTAGTGTGGTATCGGTTGCACCATTGCATGCTAGGCAAATGAATCAACTCATTCAATGCGTCAATTTCAGCAAGAACGCACAGGATCCTGCCCCATTTTCGCTCATGTTTAAATTTAGCCGTGGCGGATCCATGACCTAAAATTTGTCCGAATGCTCCGCATCTCTTGGTCTGGTAAACCAGTGTTTCAATAATAGTACAGAGAAAGGAGCAAAAGCCATACCCTGTACCGGATTACTTTCGACCTCAGGATTTTTACTGACCAAAAACATTTGTGACAAGCGTCAATAAATCGCTGGATACGTTGCAGACTAGTTTATCTGCGTTTGCCAATTTGCAACAAGTAATAGTCACTGGATTCTAAACTCTGATTTACTGGAATCGGTTTTAAACAATGCTAATAACTTCATTGCAGGAAAATTCTAGTTTTTTTCAGAATCCTGGAACTAGAACGCGATTCAAGGGGCCTATTGCAGATAAACTGGTCTGCAACTTTCCAGACTGCTTACTGTTTCCATAACTACATTTGCGACAATTTACGTAGAAGAACGGAGTCCACAAAGGAGGGTTTGACGTAAAAACAACAACAAACGGGACGCGGTACAGAAGTCTACGGACAATTCTTGAGGAACTGGTGTGTTAGAGCGACCAAAACTATTTGGCAAGGCAAACAAATTTTTGGCAACTTTTTAAGAAAATACACTGATAATTTAAGGAGTATGTCTGCTGCTAATGACAGTCTCGATAGGCTGAATTGTGTCGTCATTCCTTTGCTGGCAAACGGCGGTTGTGTTTCGTGCCAACAAGGTACTTTCCATGAATTCAGAAGCCCCACAAAAGTTGAAAATGATGGATTTTAGAAAAGGTTCCTACCAAAAACACCGACAGGACTTGGGTTAATGTTTAAGCTATAGTCTCTGTGGGTCTTGTTAAAAGTTTAGGACACAAAGCGGCAAACGCGGAGACGTGACACAACTGAAAGGCAACAGACTGTCCCTATAAAAACTACACCTGAGCTGAGCCCCCCCCCCCACACAGATAACATTACAAGTGCCCCGCCCCTCCCACAATCGTGACGGCGGTCCTACCGCATGTGGTACTGAAGTGTCTGTTTCATCTGTGAGAGCTCCCCTTCAAACTCCAGCTCTACTGTGAAGTCCAAGTCTCGCTGTTGGGGGAAACAAAATCAGGATATTAGTTTTGGAGGGCAGCCTCGCTATCTTTATTATTTTTTTACCCACGATCACAGGCTTGTACTCTACACTAAGAACACATTTTAACCCCAACTCCTGGGGCTCTTTTAATAGAAAGTATCCTGAATCCGCCAAAATCCACCAGTTTTGTCATGCAAAAAATGCTGGTATCCTGAATCCATCAGAATACCCCAGTGTAGATTCTGGAGGTATCCTGAATCCGCCAGAATCCACCAGCAAAAGTCTTGATGGATTCTGGCGGATTCAGGATACCATGGCGCCCAGTCACTGTGCGATAAATCTCCGCCATTTTGGTTGTCTCTCATAGACGCGCAACAAATTAACGTAAAGTAATAGAGCTTAATGTATCTTTCCTCCAGCACGTGACCTAGCTCAACACGCGCGAAGCAAGAAATGCGCACCGAGTATTTACGCGATGCGCACACATAATTATTAGCGATGCGCATGGTGTTCTTTGCGTGTAAACGGCCTTGCGTTCGTCACGTTTTCGCGCATTATTTGTATCTTTCCTCCAGCACGTGACCCTCCATGCAAGTCCACCCAGTACATGTGTGTACATGTTTGTACAGTATGTGACAGACTTGGCAGGGCTAGTGCCAGCAGTATTTACTTGACCACAAACATTGCAAAAGAGTTAAACTGTTGAGATCCTGAATCCATGAAAGTCCCCCAATAGCTCAAAATGGAGGTATCCTGAATCCATCAAAATCCGCCAGTTCCGCTAGGCTTCGAATCCTGAGTCCATCAAAATCCCCCAGTTTGTTCAATATGGAGGTATCCTGAATCCGCTGAAATCCCCCGAAACAGGGGGTGGATTTTGATGGATTTAGGTACGTTAGGGTTAATAGGGTCTAAATTGTCTAGCGGTAGGGCACAGGATTCATGATAGTGAGATTGTGGGTTCGAGCCCAGCCATGGCCATGCGTGTTGTGCCCTTGAGTAAGGCGCTTTACCTCAATTACTCCTCTCAACCCAGGTGTTAAATGGGTAACGGCATTATTCAATGCTGGGAAGGTAACAGACTCGCTGTGGAGGAGGTGTGGCGATCCCCCACAGCAGCATTTCATGGACTCGAGTCTGGCCTGATCGCTTTGAGATTGGCACTCCATTCCTATGAACATAGGTTCAACCCCCTATCAACTGCAACTAACTTTTAAATAAACTTCACAATTTGTTGAGTCAGCGCAAAAAGGTTATAACTCCATTCTGCAACAAAGTCATATCTCGCGCGAATACGCTCCGGGCAACAAGGTCGTATGTCGCGTATTGCGACAAACTTTGACTTTGTGCATACATTTGGGTTATTCAAAGTAAGATACAACCTTTGACATTTAAAACTCACGTTTCACGTACATGACGTCACACGCCATTTTAGGAGATACAACCTTGTTGCACGGACATGACGAAATGTTCATTTTTGAATGGTACCAGTCTGTCCGGTACTCACGTTGTTTTTCACGTTGGGCTTCATGGACAGGACACCGTTGATTGCCTCTCCCCGCTTCACAGTGATGTAATCGTCGATGTAGAAGACCGTCTGTTTCCAGTGGGTGTAAGGGGCATCCGGTGCTGAAAAAGAAGATACAATCAGATCTTGGGAAGCAATTCTTAATTGGCCAGTTATTGTTATTATGAAAAAAATTTTGCTTCAAAGTAAGGGCTATTCAGGGCTGAAACAAGATCTGATCAGCAATTGGGAAACCATTCTTAATTGGTCAGTAATTTGCAATGCAAAAGACTGTTTCCAGTGGTTATAGGGAACGTCAGGGGCTGAAAATAAGATGTGATCAGCAATTGGGAAATGCTTCTTATTTGGTGGGTAATTGTCATTGTGGAATGGGTGTAAGGGATGTCCGAGGTTTAAAATAAGCTGCAATCGGAAATTTGCAATGAATTCACAATCAGCCTGAGATGGAATCGGCTGAAAGCCATATTAATGTCAAGTTAGAAAAGACAGAATTGGAGCAGAATTGGCAGAGAGCTACGACGTTATTGCTGGTCTTTAAGACGGTCTGTTTCCAGGGCAATTAGAGGGGACTAAGCCTAAATGTTAAGGTACAATCAATAACTTGGAAGCAATTTTTAATTGGTCTGTATTCTTTCTTCGTAATTGGACCAGCTGAATGGTGGACCAGCTGAAAGCATGAGTATTAAACCTGTATGGATGCCAGAACAATTTGCAGAATCACCTTTCACGCATCCAAAAATAGAATGACAGATATTCATTCAAAGTTTCAAGTTTAGAATGTTCTGTGCAATATGCGTCAGATATTGCTTTACTTTACAGAAGTTCTGGTTCACTGTCAATGTAAACATGATAAAATCAGTTTTACATGATTATCTGCAAAAAGGGCATAAGTATCAGATAACCTGGTCAAGAAAAATAAAAACCTGGAGGCACTCACAGGTTGAGAAGCCGATTCGTTTATGGCACATGCTGAAGTCGATGTTGAAGTAGGTGACCAGAGCTTGGATGTAATCGTTGCGCTGGACGGCCAGGCAGAAATTGGAGGTGAACGTCAGATCATCAATGGTCACTGTGTACATGTCAATTTCCTGGACAGCAAAAATACGGAAAAGAAATTAGGATTAAGTAAAGAATGGGAGTTTAAGCAAGCGGTTACTTGAAGTTTAGCTTGAGGTTTTTTCAAAGTTTAACCCTGACCACCCCAACGCCATCAAAATCCATCCCCCCATTTTGGTGGATTTGGGGACTTTTGTCCAGAAGGCCTGGCGTGACTAAATATTGATGGAGCATGATGGACTTGGGCCAAGCAGTGCTAGGGGTATCCGGTTGATTTCGCCTAGCTTCCTGTACTGCTATTGTGATAAAAGCCACGTGTAGCAAGTCCATTAATGTCAACCAGTGCATCAGTGGTGGATTCCATTATGTCATGTACAGTTTTGTATTGGACGCACAGTGATTGATGGATTTTGATGGACTCGGTCCAATTCCTAGTGAAAGTGCTAGGGAGTTAGGGTTAAGTAAAGAATGCAAAATTAAACAGGCGGCTACTTGAAGTTTAGCTCTAGGTTTTTTCTCAAGGTTTAAAGAGGTTTGACGGGAGTTACAACTTCTTCAATTTGCAATTTTTGATGAGGACGCTTTTGGTCACCCTCTGCTTAGGATCCACAACATCCACATGTGGTTCTCTCATTCAACTACTTCATCCACAGTTAGTTCGCGCATTCAACAACAAATTTCCATTCGTTCAAGTATTTATTCAGGTTTATTGTATCTTGATGAGGAATGTGCTGGTTGGGATCCACTACATCCACAAGTGATTCGCTGATTCAACTACAACATCCACAACTGTTTTTGCTGATTCAAATGTAATTTTTTGAATCCTTCAAGTTATCTATTCAGGTATAATAGTGCCTCGATGAGGAAGGTATTCGGCACTCTTTGATAAGGATCCACTACATATACATCCACAAGTGGTCTGTTGATTCAACTACTAGTTTTTATTAATTCAAGTATTCAACTAATTATATAGGTGTCTTCAGGGGAAAGGTTTGGTCACTCTCAGCTTGCGATCCACTACATCCACAGGTTCTTCTCTGATTCAATTACTTCATCCACAATTAGTTCGTTTATTAGTTCAAGTATTTATGCTACCTTTCCGAGGAAGGTGTTGGTCACCCTCTTCTTGGGATCCACAAGTGGTTTGCTCATTCAACTACAACATCCGCAAGTGGTTTGCTGATTCAACTACAAGTTTTTTAATAGTTCATATTTACTCAGGTATATTAGAACCTTGATGAGGAAAGTATTGGTCAACCTCTTCTTGGGATCCACAACATCCACAATTGGTTTACTTATTGAACTAAAACATCCACAATTGGTTTGCTGATTCAACTACAAAATCGTTCAAGTATTTCTTCATGTATATTGGTACCTTTATGAGGAAGGTGTTGGTCACCCTCTGCTTGGGATCCACCACATCAACAAGTGGTTCGCTGATTGCAATTTCCCTGATACAGCTCATGTCAAAACCGTACACATTGTCCCACCCTACAAGAAAAATAAAATTCAACAAAACTTAATTCAACAAAACTTAAGTTAAAAATGTCAATACTGAAAAAAGGAGCATTTTCAGTCCAATTTGCAACTCACTCAAAGTTGTGGGTTCAAGTCTACCCACATCAGCTGGACATCAGCTATTTTTCTTCTTTTTTTGCCCCAATTCTGTGGATAGCGTTGAAAATACAGTGCCAACAATTGAAGTAAACGGGAAAACATAATATTACATAATGGGAATAAGGTTGGCGTATTGGTTCTTTTCTTGCCTTCAACTTCTGTGATACGAGTTCAAATCTTGCCTGGATAAACATGAGGATTGGGTTTTCCATTGGATGCCATTTTTTTCCTTTGCTCCAGGGCAGAACAAAAATTGACAAGATTGCAATACACCATTTATTCTCACGTCGTGTTGACAAAAAAAAGTACAATACAGGGTGAGTACAAAAATTAATGAAACCCAAACTGGCAGGACCAATTTTTGAATGAAGTTTTGCCTGTAGCACTTTCAAAATCTAGCATATTAACCCTATAAACGTCCCTGAATCCATCAAAATCCACCCCCCTGTTTCGTTGGATTTCGGCAGATTCAGGATACCTCCATATTGCACAAACTGGGGGATTTTGATGGATTCAGGATACCTCTATTTTGAGCTGTTGGGGGACTTTGATGGATTCAGGATCTCAACGGGATTTTTTGCAATGTTTGTGGTCAAGTAATATTGCTGGCACTAGCCATGCCAAGTCTGTCAGTGAAACTTTCAGGATACTTTCTAGTAAAAGAGCCCCAGGAGTAAGGGGTAAAGCCCAATCATTAAGCCTTCTGTTAGTTCAAGAATCATTCAAATCACTCATGTACTTTTCAAATTACGGAATTTTGAACACAAACACCGTTTTAAAGTTCTGTCCATGGATCACAAAAAGGTAGGTGTTCTTTCAGCAAAACACAAACAATTCTAATAGGGATGCATGTGAATTGTTTTGTTTTGCTGAAAGAACATTTACCTTGTGATTCGTGGACAGAACTTTAAAACGGTGTTTGTGTTCAAAATTCTGTCACTTGAAAAGTACATGAGTGATTGGAATGATTCTTGTACTAAAAGAAAGCTCAATGATTGGGCTTTCATATCCTAGATTTTGAAAGTGCTACAGGCAAAACTTCATTCAAAAAAATTGGTCCTGCCATTTGGGTCTTGTTTTTTTTTAAAACTCACCCTGAACATACATTGCTAGAGATTTCTTTTCTCCAAAACATGAAACAGTCGGAATTCTAGCTGAAGCCAGAAAACTGGCATCCCTATGATCATACCACAGGGATGTGGTCATACCCGATTCATGTTTTTTCAGTTTGTGGTTTTCCTCCCACCTCTAAAACTGCAATGCTTCTTTGCACAAGTCTGTAAAGGGCTACCCTGGCCAAGTAATAACCAAACAATTAACTACAAAAGTCACTTTCGACTTACAATTGATCTTTTCGTCCTTGTACTGTCTGTCCTCGATAGCTGTGATGTGTAGAGTTGCCCTGTCTGGGAATATTAACCCTCCCCTGCTCTGTGAAATTAAAAGAAAAAGATAGATTTCATAAAAACATGCCACAAAATGATTCGTCTAAAACTCTCAGGCAATGGAGTCAATCAAACATCTTTGGAAATATTAGAAAGAAGTGCTGTCCATGCCAGACGCACATACAGACACTGTGGCTTTTTGCATATCTAAAATAATAAGTCATGTGTAGTTTGCAGTATCAAGTGTTCTCCAACTTTGAAAAATTAAAGGTCGTTGCGTAGTCAAAATGCGGAGAGGGGCGCTATATGCTAGGGGGCGCTATTTGCAAATGAACATGTAATTTATGTATGGATAACAGCTTTTAGGCCATTTCTAACACAGTAACTTTAACAGTTAAGAACAATAATGGCTCAGCATCATTTTTTTTTTTAATACATCAGTGACCACAGACTCTGAGGCAGTTTGGCCTTGAGACTTTTGACCTGATGGATTGCTACAATGGGCAGGCTTGTCACTTTGACAAATGTTGCATGTTACTGCTTTTGGCAGAGTTTCTGGCCAAAATATACCCTGGAGGGTATAATATACCACTTGTTTGTCTTGTTTATTATTTTATATTTTTTTTTAAAGCATGGCGGCAATTTTTTAAGCTTGGCAGCAACTTCTGAAGCTTGGCGGGTGCCTCAGAAAGCATGGTGGGGCACCAGGTTATTTTTACAGGTTGGAGAACACTGCTATACATGTGCAGTACGCACACGTGGTACATCCCGTCTCATCCACTGGGCTCTTGAAAAATTGGAGAAAAAAGTGCCCCCTCTTGTTCCCGCATGGAGTCGATAGTTAAACTGGCAGCACAGCGCCCTCTAGAGTCCCCGCTTACCAGCCATTTGTCCCTTGCGTACAGTACTGTGTTGAGCATCGACTCGTAGAACAGGCAGTAGCCCATCCACTCGCTGATGATGATGTCCACCTTCTCGACAGGCAGGGTAACCTCCTCCACTTTGCCTTTGATTAACGTGATCACTGGTGGAGATACGAGAAAGGTATTCAAGGGAGTCGGTCAGAATTTCAGCCAAGTCAATCACAAGTCATTGCAAGTCATAGAGCTATATTAAATTACTAGAGCGCTAACTCCTCATTCTTGCGCACGGAAGCACTTTGAAGCCGTCCTGGGCGCAGACATTTTGAATTCATGTACGTGTTTGTAGAACAAAATGAAATAACCGGTAGATGGATTGAATTTTGAAAGAGTACTCTAAATGAAACGCGCAAGCAGAACGTACGCAAACAACTTAAGTGCGTCATGAGGGTTTAACAGAAACACGTCACGGTTAATCATCTGCAGTGGATACGCGCACGCGTTGCACTGTTTGCGTAAAGGAAAATGACACGCTCATTTGCTGATCGTGCGTTTCTGTTTTGGGCGTATCGGCTTCGGTAACGCACCGGTATGGAATACAAACGCAGATATGCAAATAGTGGTACAAAAGCCGTACAAAAGCCGTACAAAACATCAAGGTTTCCATAGATTTGTGCACAAACATGGATGCGCCCAGCAGGCATCATTTTGTACATGAGTCAGAGTTCTAGTAATTAATAAAGCTCTATGTTGCAAGTACACAAAATAAAGCAGGACCCCTAGCATCCATTCAATGACCTTTTTTATTCAACAGATCAGGTATTGGTCTGTGTGTCCCACACGCTATGTTGTCGCACTAGGAATTTGTTTGCTCCCAATGCCATCCACCTGTTCAATATAAGTCTGTGAATGGGTAATCATTGATATTAATGTCTAAGAGCCGTCAATTCGTTTTAATATGTCATTTGTATGGTGTTGGCTTTTGATTATTGTGTGTTATGTTGACTTAAAAATAGTTTGTGCAATGTATCGTGGTCCTCTCAATTTTAACTGCATTGTATTGGTTTATTTTTTAGTGAGTTAGTGATCTGTGTATATTGTACTATATATTGATTTAGTGGTTTTATGTAATGTCACTGTTCAGAAATGCCAGTGGAAGCTGAATTTCTATACTTCTTAGTGTGGATAATAAACTTGAATTTGATAGATTTGAATTTGAAGTCGTCACAGGTCAAATTGAAGTCAATCACGAGTCAAATCACAGGTCGGTCAAAAGACAAATCACAAGTCAATCACAGACTCAATTCCAAGTCAATAACTATTCAATCACAAATCAGATTACAAACTGCATCACAAGGCAATCCAAAGTCAATTACAATTCATCCAACCAGTTTGTCACACGAGTCTGGACAACTTGTGATCAACAAATCTGGAGCAAAAATGTCATTTCTAAGAAAATCTGGGCAAATGCAGGGGGAAGAATACAAGGATCAGTGAAAATCAAAGTGTGTATCCTAAACACACCCCAGTTACGCAACAGCGCCCTGTATAGGTTGTAAACGGAGTCCGTTTTGGACAGTGTTCAATTTAGACCGGTGCACGCATGCACAGGTGCATGTACTTTTTCCTCAGTGCATGTAAACCTCTGGTACAACGTGCATGCTGTTTTTGGAGTAGCAAGGTCCCTCTTACCCCCACCGATATTCATGGATCTCCACAAACAAATTTTGAATGAAAGTATCGACTCCGTGCACGCGGTGTATCCCTCCCTCTTCGGCTTTCGAAAGTGCTCACAAAGCGCCCTCTATTGTTCATAAACAGAGTCCATAACCACGCGCAACTTTCTGAATGCAGCTTACCATCGTCCATCTTATTGGCTTTGACGATCTTCTCTGCGTGGTCAATGATGTTGGAGCACTCAATCTGAAATACAGAGAAAGAGATCACAGTTGAAAATTAGCAATGTACCCAACCCCTCTGCACACAATATCACTAAACTCATCGTAAGTTACGATGCATCGCAGCGCTGCGATGCGTCGTATCCCTGCGACACATCCTGCAATCCATTTCACAAAACACGTCGTAAGTGCGACTCGTCGTAGGTGTATTTAAAGCACAACTCGGTGTATTTATAGTGCAACTCGGTGACTGTTTTGTGTATTAAGTCAGCGTACAGTAAATAGTCGTCTGATATTCAACAAAGAGTCATAACATAAAACAAACTGGCGGCCGTGTGATGCAGTTTTAAAGGAAAACAAGCTCTCAGTGGACTGTACAGCTACTTTGAAATTTCAACTGCAATATTCCAGGCTAATTCATAATTATTCAATGATTTTTCTCTTTACAACTTTACACACATTGCCTTGGTATTTTAATCTCGTTTATGTAATGTTTATGCCATAAAACTGGCTAAGAGAAGTACTCTTCTTATTTAGTGATGACCACTAGACACATCATAACTTGCGACGTGTTTTAAGCCGTTGTCAAGGAACTTACGACGCGTTCAACTCATCCATGTTTTGTGAAATGTATTATACGACGCGTTGCGAGTTGCGACGTGTCGCAGCGCTTCTTGAAATTGGGTGCAGGAGAATTTGGCTAGAAACCCCCCCCCCCCCCCCACTGCAGCAACATGTAACATTGTCAAAGTGAGAAGCCAGCCCATGTAACATGGTGTAACAGGTTGATATTCTCAAGGCCAAACTGTCTCAGAGTCTGTGGTTGCGTACTGCAGCAGGATACAACTGTGGCATTGTTCCAAATCCCCGAGTTGGACGCTAAAAGTCCCAAATGCTTGATCTCCAGAAACAGTTCTACTATCTGTCCCAAGTATAGGCTGCAAGGACCCCTTAACCCTGACCCTGCTGAATCCAACAGGATCCAACTATATCATATACCCGAAGGAGCCTGTTGGATTGAGCAGTAAACCCCTTGTGTACATTCCTGATGCAAAATGTTGGATTCAGCAGGCAACTGAACCGCATTATAACGCCATGTTGGACTCCGTTGGATTTAGCAGACAACTGAAAATAAGGCACAGTGGATTGAGCAGGAAACTCCAGTTGGATTCTGTTGGATTCTGTTGGATTTAGCAGGGTAGTCCTGAGGAACTACTAATGTGTTAGGGTAATTAATTTATGCACCCTGAGATAAAAAAAAAAAAAAAACGCATCGTGGAGGGTTTTGAAATGTTATCCATTCTCCACAGCAGATTACTTCAAATGATTGCAGTGGCAAAACTCCATTGGCAAAAGTGTTTTGGCAAAACTTTTAAGACTTTTGAAGTGCAACAGTCCAGGAGGGGGAAAAGTCAGCACTGTGGTCCAATGGTTATGGTGTTCGACGTGCCCAGGTACGTAGGTACGAACCCTGACGGGGAACGTGGTGCTTGTGTTCTTGGGCAAGACACTTTACTATAATTGCCTCTCTCCACTCGGGAGTATGAATGGGTACCTGTGATGGTAGAGACTAGAATGCACTGATCTCGAGCTGCTGCAAAAACTGGTCTCAGGGCCTGATGAACAGGGGTAATAATTGTGAAGCGCTTTGAAACCTAGGGTATAAAGTGCTATATAAGCACATTATTATTATTATTTATATTTGTTTGGCAACTTTTTTTTCCCCTGAACATTTTGGTTTCATACTCACCCCTATGACTTGAGCCGCCCCTGCCTTGGCGGCAAACATGCACAGGATCCCCGTACCGCAACCCACGTCAAGGACCGTCTTGCCCTTGAATAGGTGCTTGTTGTGCCACATGGCGTTACGGTAGGTCAACGTTCGCACCTCGTCTTTTAGCATTTCCTATATTGTCAAGACACGAAAGATGGTAACGGATTTAAGAACGGAATTAACAGAATTCATCTTTCGAAGTGGATTTCACAAATAGAGACTATACTAAACATTTTTAACCCTAACCGCCCTGAATCCTTCAAAATCCTCTTTGCCAAAGTGGAGGAATTTGGAGGCTTGAGGTTACATGGCAAAAGTGCGTTACTGATTTCGTAGGATGCACTTTGTCAAGGTCTTGGGCCGGACCTTATGTTGTTTTTGCTCAGTCATGCTTTAATATTGGCCTGGATTGTGCTTGAAATACTCTGTACTGCTCCAGGATGTCACTGACCAAGCCTCAACATTTTGGCAGCCACGGCCGCAGGATTTTGCAGGAATCAGGCAGTGGTCACCCCTCCACGGACCATATTCAAGAAAAAAATGGAGGAATTTGCAGGATTGAGGCTATGCTATTTTTCCACGAGGCCAATTTGAGGATTTTGCAGGATTGAGGCTACATCCTAGCAAAAAGGCCTCAGGAGTTAGGGTTAAAAAGGAAACAGTTTCTTTGTTTCAGCCTACCTCGTGAATTCCGAAGTGAGCATAGGAGTCAAAGTAGTAATCTTTGGACGTCATATCCTCCAGCTTAGCTTTCTTTTCGGTGTGTCCCTCAGCACCCCCCTCTTCCGTCCCCCCGTTCACCAGGGGTTTCAGCGCGGGTTCTGGCAACGCAGGAGCCTGAATAGAGACGGTTGCCATATCGGATACTTGTTGTGTCTGTAATTTACGAGGGTAAAACAAAGACCCAATAAATGTAGAAACAAATTTTAGAAAGGTTATCAGAATAACACATTTTTTTTCCCGGTGAATGTTTGAAAAATTTAAAGTCAACTTTTGATTTAGTCTGGTTTTTCTACGCAGAGATTTATTCCGAGATTTTTGGTCACTAAAAATGTGTAGCCTGGTGCGCAGCGATGTTGCATGTAAAACTGAAATCTTGGCACAATAAGTCTCTGTACTAATGATGTCACCCTTTCTTAACTGGTGCGCTTGTCTACGAAATCGTCGTTCCCACTAGGCTCCCATAAGAAAGCACACATGTAAACAAAGTGTGACATCATCGGTACAGAGGCTTATTGCCAAATACCCAGCTAATCGATCTGTCCACCTCGTAGCCAGCTACAGAGTCACGGTTGGGGGGGGGGGGGATTTCCACTCCATAGCTAGCAAAAGGGTGGTCACATACTCACATCATATATCACCAGACAGGCCAATCACAGGGCACATCGGTTCGGCGCCGTCGATAATCAAGGCGTCCTGTGATTGGCCTGTCTGATGATAGTCATAGCCACGTAGTCAATCGCAGCAGCCAGCCAATCTTCCAGTTTTCAAAACATTTGATAGGCGCATAAATTAATAAGATTGTTTATTTCTTGAAAAAGAAAAGACATAACAGGCCTAGCATACGTACATGACCTACATGTAGGCCTAAATTAATAAAGTCAAGGCTGTAGTTTAATTTTCATTCTTTTGCTAAATACAGAATGGAAAGAATGTTGCAACCGGACGCTGCTTTTATTCATATAGGCCTATCATCTCAATCATGTCAATGAAGGTCAGTCATTGCAAAAGACATGAAAAGACTTAAGACATGATGAGTCTGGCACTGAGAAAGGAAAGAAAGTTGCAACCTGACGCCACGTTTTTCTTCACATATCATCTCAATGAAGGTCATTCATTGCACTTTGCAGAAATGATGAAAAGGCATGAATCTGGGACTGAAAAACATTTCCAATTTTGGTAGGAAATACTTAAAGAATTTTCTTGACTCTCCATAGACTTTGTACATGATCGTGGAAGTGGCGTCAGGTTGCAACATTTTTTTCCCTGAGAAACATTTCCAATTTTGTTAGGAAATACTTCAGTTAGATTTTCTTGACTCTTACTTTGTACACAACATGCACAACCGCTGAACATGCTGAAGTAGGCCTAGTATCATCAGGTTGCCACATTCGTTCCTACAGAATACATCTTACATCATCTAATTATTTAAAAGTCGAAGTTGAAAGTCACTTTTTATTATACGGCGATCTGCACTTTTCAGCACACAATGACATTTCACACACAGCATGCACAGCGCGCGTGTGCATGCACAACACGTGTCGCACGTGACAAAATGCACCCAAAACGCGAAGAACTTGTCAAACCAAACTCAGCCACAAAACTTCACAGAGTTAAGAAAAAAACAAAAACAAAATTGCATCTCCACGTTACCTACGATCCCACAGTTCTAAGATCAGGCCCACAAACATCTAAATTAACTTCGACAAACATGCATACAAACCAAAGAAAAACTCAAACATTACCTCCATCGTTTCGGACATGCTGCATGAGAAAACCTTTCTTCTTCGTATGATTTTGCCATGCGTTTGTGCATACGTCATCAAAAGCTGCGTTCCGATAGGTCACTGCCGCAAAGGCCACGGCGAAATAAATTTATGTTTGTAGCTTGTACATTAGATAGTTGAGATTTGTTGGAGCATGGCGGTCTAATTCTACCTCCATGTTTGGAGCATGGAGGAATAGTGTTCTTATTCCTCCATGGTTGGAGGAAAATAGTAATGCCGTAGTACGATTTTGCAGGGGGGGGGGACCCACAATCTAATGGGCGCCCAGTAAACAAAAACAAACACCTATTATATTAAGGGAATAAATGTGTGCTCCGGAGGTTTTTATCACTCGTTTAATACCGCTTAGAGTCTGGGTGCTGATAATTACCCGAGCCGGAGGCGAGGGTAATTATCAGCACCCAGACTCTAAGCGGTATTAAACATAGTGATAAATACCGACCGAGCACATACTCATTCATAAATACCTTATCCGTAAAAAAAATCAAATAATTCGTTCAAAAAATCCCGATTTTGTTCAACAAGTTCACTTCATGCTTTTTGAAACATCCCTCTAGCAAAATAATGGAGTGTTTAGCTGGCGAGTAAGATGTAAACAACCCTTTTATAGAGATTGACGCGCGCGTAACATGTTCTGCGCGATGTCACGCAGAACGCACCTGGGGCGTTGCGTTTTGAATTTAGAACTGTAAAATTCTGACTCGCTTGTAGTGTTGCGCATGCCTACGTGAGGATTGTGAACGTTCAACCAATGAAACGGTAAGAGGCACTGGATTTTTAGGAGTCCACATTTTATTGTGACACTGGAAAAGTGTTTAAGACCAGCTAGCCATGTCTTTATCATCCGTTTAAGACCGGCCACGTGACGGGCTCTCGACCAATAGGAATAGCTAAACTGTCTGAGGTATTTATGAATAATTGTTTAAAATTCTTCCGGGGGCGGGGGGGGGGGGGTGGAGGGGTAGGAGGTGCGCGGGGCACACACCCAATAAGCAGCTGCTTCATGGTGGTTGTACTATTGAGAAAGAGCTCGGTCCATTGGAGTGCAAGCTTTAGTGCACAGCTGAATTTCAATACATTTTTTTTTTTAGCCCAACCTATTTTTGTTTTCATCACAATGAAAAAAAAAATCGTTTGTCTGAGTTCTCGCTGGCTATCATTCCATAGATTCACATTGGAGTACGTCGCCGAATGGGGGGGGGGGGGGGGGGGGGCAGGCGCGGATCCAGGATTTCTTTAGACGGGGGGCACACCTTTAGAGCATTTGCTCCGAGGACTAATGCGAGCGCGTAGCGCGAAGCCCTTACGGCGTGGGGTCCGGGGCCCGCTTAAGGGCCCCGGGAAATTTTGGATTCTAGATGCTCTGTGGTGTAATCTGAGGCAACTCCTTGCCCCTTTCCCCCTGAATTATTTGAGCAAAAGTTGTTAAGCTTATGAGGATTTTTTTTAAATATACATTAATGTTTTTACAAATTTTAAGCTACCGTGTACTTCAAAATTTGTGCAAACCATGTATTTTCGTCTTCGCGGAGCAGTGTCTTACGGCGTGGGGTTCGGGGCGCGGGCCTACTGAAGGGCCCCGGGAAATTTTTGATTCTATAGATGCTCTGTGGTGCAATTTAAAGCGATTTCTGGCCCCATTTCAGTAAAATGTTGTAAAGATTGTTAGGATTTTTTTTTTCATTATCGCTTCGGTTTGCGGTAACACCATGTGTTTCTTTATTTTTTGTTCATTGGTTTAAAATTGTACTCTTGTATTTTTTCTGTTCTTTACTTGATAACCAGGTATTTTCGACGGCATTATCAATTTCTTGCAATTTATTTTTGAAAAAAGAATTGGATAGGCTTAGGTTTGTAGGAAGATCTGCCCCGAGGACTAATAATGCGGGCGTGAATGTATTTCGGCGTGGGGTGCGGGGCCCGCTTTAGGGCCCCGGGAAATTTTTGATAATTAGATGCTCTGTGGTGCAATCTGAGGCGATTCCTGGCCCCTTTTTCCTCTTTTTTTTATTGGTTTAATATATACTCTTGCTTTAACAAGCGTTTTAAGTTTCTTCGTTTTTCACTTTCGTCTGCATGTTTTCGTGCATTTTATTTTTGAAACGGAATTGTATAGACTTAGTTTGTAAACTTTTGCAAGGATGCTTTCTAATGTTTTGTATAAAGTTTAATTTTTCAGTTTATCAACAAGATAAGATTTTCTACGGAAATTTTATACGGAAGCGGACATGTTTTGGACTCGATCCTTGAAAGCGCGTGGAAGAAATGCTGGCCCCCATGACCAATAGTGTGGTCCAAAGAGCACACTATAACGGCCGTCACACGTACACGTGCGTGTTTTTCGTACGGGTACATACGCTCAGAATCGCATTTCATAAACCGATATACTATGCAGGGTTAAGTACGGTGGGATCGCGGTTTATTTCGAAGCTTCTCGAGTTCCCTGTGTCATACGGCCACACAATGTTTGCAGGCCGGTATTTTTGTTAGAAGGTTGCCCTCCTCCTTCACTCCATTTCTCTCACCTCACCCTCTTTTCCCCCTGTTTTATTAATTTTATTTTTTTGTGGACTCAATTTGACGGGGGGCACGTGCCCCCGCGGCCCACCCTGGATCCGCGCCTGGGGGGGGGAGGGGCGCAAAACAATTTGACACCACGTGGCGTTATTCATTTTAAAAATCTTGTTTGAATAGACCTCATGCGTAGCTGCCATCTTAGAGGGCATCTTTTAATTGTTAGTTTTTCAGTAACAATAAATGAATGCATGCTTCACTCATACATATCCCAGCAAAACAAAGAGCTCTATGAAAGTGGGGTGCTACTGCGCTACACATAAGGTGACTACAACTGGAGAAGCACTTCTTATGTGATGAATTGAAATTTCTGGTCGTGATGTCATGAAGAAGCCTGTTTTCAAAAGAAAGTGTAAAAAAAACAACAGGGCAGCCAAAACAATAGAGTGTGGTGAGCGCGAAGTCTTAGACTTCAAGTACCTGGGTCAAGAATGATCATGAGTTCGGAGAAGGATATAAAGGTACGCAAGTCGCTGGTGTGGGCTATGAATGACGTGAAGAAGATCTGGTTATTGAGTCGAACCTGACCCGGGCTCGGAAGATCTTCACAGCTGCTAAGAGTCCATTCTCACGTACGGATGCGAGACGTACGTGGACCGTTACCCAAGACCTTGCTTAAGTCACTAGGTGGTTGCTATACACGAAAGCTCCGGATGGCTCTTGACACAGTTGGCAACAGCACATGAACGTCGAGCTCTATTGAGACCTACCCGATGCTTACCACTACAATTGAAGACTGCAACTAGCCGGCCGGGCACTGTTAACACCACCATGAGCTACCTGCCAGCCTATAGTCATCGCATGGGAGCCCAAGCACGGAAGGATGATCTTGGCTTCCTCCCAAAACTCTATGGATCAACACCATGGGCGTCGGGGGGGGGGGGGGGGGGGCAAGGGGGCACTTGCCCCCCCCCCCGAAAAGCAAAAACAGAAGAAGAAAAAAAAGTATGTTTTGCCTCCCTCTAGAAAAAATCCTGGCGACGCCCATGGTCAACACGCTCCTAGAAGACAGCGGCGCGGCTAATGTAGATGAGCTGAACACACTGATAAGGGGGAGGGAGGATAGGAGTGGAGCGTCTGTCATCGCGCCCGGCGCCGGCCCCCTAGGCCTGAGACGACGTAGTAGCAGTAGTAGCGCGAAGAAGGCGCCTATGGGACGGGTGCAACCCTGTATTAAATTCCCATAGACACCAATGCTAAATGCCCATACTTCAAAATTCTTTTAAAAATACTCAGAAGTCTCACAGGTATTTAAGCTGCACACAAAATGATGATCAACATGTCGATATGTCATCTTTAATTTTCTTTTCATTTTTTGGTGGGTTGACCATTAACTTTTCGAGATATTCTCACCCAAAGAAGACGACCCCTATTTTCCCCAAAGCGGAATATAGCTATCTTGGAAAACGATCCCTCCACAACATGGCAAAACAGCGCCACTTTCGAGCCCAGTTGCATCCAAAATGTTCGGAATTGGAAGCCCAAGTCGGGGCCAGAGGTTCATTGCCATATCTCTTCAATTCCCCAAATTTTATGATGGCTCTCATATTTAAACGGTCTAATATAGAATATTTTGATGGTATAACTTTTATTCATGAGCTCGGCGGATGGGTTTAGGCCTATTTACCGGAGTGCACTCCTATTGTGTTCTAAACAGACAGGTGATGATGGATTGGGCAACATACTGGCGATGATTTCGGCAAATACAGTGCTTGAAAAAGGTTGTCCCATGTACTGTTTTGTATAAGGGCGTTATACTATCCGCACACTTTGGCCAACTTTAGGCCTATCAGACGTCATGCTTGTGCCGTGTCTACAAATCGCCCCCCCCCCCCCGCTTATTTCAGCGAAAGGAGTACTGGGCGAAGTATTGACACCGAATTATGGTTGAAAAATGAAAGTATGCTGCATTTCCCTGGAAGACAAAAGAGAATCAACCTCCAGCCGTCCCTATATAATATATCCGCTGTCCCCACTCCCGAAAAAAGGAAAAAGAACACGCCCAAAAACATGGAAAGTTAAAAAAAATCATTTCCATTTATCACTGTACTGGGTGAGTAAAAATAAAAGGAAACCCAAATGTCAAGACCAAAAATGAAGTTCTGCATGTAGCACTTTCAAAATCTAGAGTATGAAAACCCAATTAATAGTCGTTCTACTTCTTTTTGTACAAGAATCATTCAAATCAACCATGTACTTATCGAATTACGGAATTTTAAACACAAACACAGTTTTAGGGTTCTGTCCGCTTATCAAAAAAAGTTTCTTTCAGCAAAACGAAAGCAATTCACATACATTGTTTTCGTTTTGCTGGAAGAATACTTACCTTTTTTTGTGATCCGTGGACAGAACCCTGAAACGGTGTTTGTGTTTAAAAGATTTTTAATTGGGCTTTCATATCCTAGATTTTGAAAGTGCTATACATGAAGAACGTCATTAAAATATTGGTAATGTCATCTGGGTTTCCTTCTTTTTTTTTACTCACCCTGTATACATGACGTATTATAAACATGTGCACTGCCATTTACTGACCACTCATGACACACTGACAACCATTATACACATCCAAAAGTTTGACAATATGAGACTTGAATAACAATTCTGTTTAATCATTCATTCATATTTCATGTTATAAGTCTCAGAGAAGCTGATAATATTAAATAACAATTAGAACCATTTTCCAAAACAATTAATTCTAAATGATATTACTTTAAATTATGTACATTTTTTGGGGTAAAGATTTACTGATTCGTAATAAGTTCAGATACTTATTTCCATCTATGATATCGGGAAAAAAGAAGATTATTAATTAAAACTGGCATCATTTATCACGTTGTCCCATTGCAATTTTTTTTGAAACAACATGGTTCATCCACCATTTTTATATCACAAAGTACAGAAATATCAGAGAGAAAAAAAGCAGACTAGAAAAAAATGTAGCGGACTGGAACCTTGACGTTGAACCATAGCCGGACAACGCAGAAGCTTTATTGCACCCGCCTTTACGTCACGTATCAATACACCAATGACAGTGGTGAAATTCCTGCGTCAATTCTCGACCGAGCAATTTAATTGGTCAATTGTTAGGGAAGGGCATGGTTTCAGTAACACGCAATTTCATGACCAACGTCAAGGTGCCTGTTTTGCCGCTTAAGATATGTATAGCATCTAAGGCTTTATTATTATTATTATTATTATTATTTATTACATATAAGACATTGGACTTACCGCCGCAAGCAATAAACGTTTATACGGAACTAGCTACAATTACATGACGGACGTACTAAAGATACATTGCATTATGATAATAATTACATGACTGTTTTTAACATGATCAAAAGATGAAAAAAAACACAAAAACAAACAAAAGCAAAAAAAAAGAGAGACTATTTCAGCTAAGTCAAAGTATAATTCAAATCTAGGTTGGTAAAACAAAACGAACAGCCAAAATCAATTAAATGTACATTTTCATTATTAAATGTTAATTAGCACGTGACATGTTCTTGTGAATTTGTCTGTATTATACAGCATGAATAGTTTCAGACACCAAAATTATGACAGAGGCATATTGGATATGACCCACAAAAACAACTCTTGGATTTTTTTTCAAGACTCATATACTACTGTTTCGATCCGATCAGGGTGTCCTGAATTTATGACACATTGTGACGTCATCTCCTTTCACGGTTAACCTTATCGGATAATTAGAGCGATCAATGGCGAATACTACAAGCAAAAACCTATAGATGTGTACTTATTATTTAGCAGCTTATTACATGCAGTCATTAAAAACCGATTATTTGTTTCCCAAAATGAATTAAAACGCACGTGTAACTATAGGTTTGCAACAACGCCATACAAGTCCTGGATCGAAGTCGACCCGAATCTGGGTCCATTTGACCTGACAATCTTGGGTCAACTTAAAACGACGATTTTTGTTTCAAGTAAAATTGACACATTGTTTTATATTCAATATGATTTTTTTTTTTAAATGTCAATATCATGACAATGTTCCGGGTTTAATGGCCCGGAAATGAGACCAGAAAAGTGTCATTTTGACCCGAAAAAAGGTCAGGTCATTTGACCCGGATCCGGGTCGACTGATCCGGGTCTTTTTTAAGAGCGTAAGCCACAACCTGGCAGATATACAAATTTTGTACAAACTTTTGTTTTACTGGTTTGACTTGCATGTATTTCAACTAGCCCAACATTTTGGCATTTCATTTAAAGGTGTATTTCAGTTTAAAACACTGGTTATTGGCACGCAATAGACATAAAAAAGAACTGTTTTACCACGCTCAACTACAGTTGGTAAATTTCAGTATTTTGTTAATATACAGTGCAGGGGAAAAAGGATTTTGTAAGCACACCAAACATGCCACCTAAAGGCACACAAACCACTGACAACCAATCAACCATTCTTAATAAGTATATCCTTCAAGGAAAAAAGTAGGCCTAAACTCTAGTTTATAGTAAAAAAAACCAGAAAGTTTTCTGGATTTCAGATAAAACAAGAAATATACCTTCATCCTAAAATATTTTTTTTTCCAGAATAGTTTTGAAATACCATCGCATCGTGTGCTACTTAAAAATATTCTTGAAAAAAAATATCTGGCTTTGGTTTCTACGAAAAATTTAAAATTCGAAAGATTGGCACTTGTGATTTATTTAAATTACTTTTTAAGCAAAGGTTTTATGAGGAGTTGTTTGATTGTTTAAACTACAGAGAGTTAACACTTTTTTTTTAAAATGTATAGATCAAGCTAAAATACAAGCGTGATGAGTGAAGGGAGTTTTGTGAACACCATCTACTCGTACTCGCCGTTGCTGATGCCGCTGATGACACAACACGCGAAGATCATCGCAAGGATCTGAAAGAAAAGTGAGACCAACACATTATTAACTCCCTTTACTGACAATTTGTTTTAAAAATATTAAATTAAATTTCATATTGAACATTGTACGTGAGACAAGACGCGTGGGGAGTGAGGCCAGGTGGTTACGCCGCTTTGTCTGGTGCCGGAAAGTTAAGCCACGATGTCCTTGGTGAAAGGCTAGTCCTTGGTATGCAGTTATTCGTGAATAAGTATTAACAACAGCAAAAAACAGCACAACAACCAATGAAAGGCACTTTCCTGGTATGCAGTTACATGTATTATGTTAACAACCGTACGGGTAAGGCGCAGGAGAACCAGCGAAATGAAGTGCTTTACTTCTACAGTGGTTCCCGACCCACACCTTTGTTCGTCTATAACATATAATTGGACAAGGAACCAGTCTACCCTCTTCTCGTTGGCCGGCTAGACCGCGCCTTTCCCTTGTATACTGTACTGATTCATGTAATTCTATGAAAGCTGAATGTAATTCTATGAAAAGCGCGTAAAACCGCGAAATGCAAGTTTGTTGCTTCAACCGTACGGCCTTTTAATGCATTGGGCCCATTTCTGTACGTGTGTGTGTTTAATATCTCTATGTGAAGTAACATTTAACATTTGTTTAATAACCAGTGGTATAAGTGTGATTTAATTTGATGGCTCCAAACACACAAAATGACATGGTTCCAAGTAATAACAGTCTCAATTTTAAGAAAGACAAAAAAGAACCCAGACGGGTGTAGATACATGATGGAAAAGAACGCGGCCAAAAGCGTTAATTTCATTTCAGGGGAAATAAAATCCACTTTGGCAGGTGGGATAGAAGATATAATTAAAGACATCGTGATGGAGTGTTACAAAATGTATATAGGGGCGAACAATGTGAGGATGGTAAACAATAAACGAGGGTATTAGTCAATGTAGCAACGATCGAAAGTGACATCAGTTGGTTAGTTCTGAGATATTTTCAGCTATTTTGATGAAAACGGCCGGTGGAGTATGTTGGTGGAAAGACCGAAAAATGTATAGCAATATGGCGGACTGACAAGAAAAATCCAACATTTGTTTGGTTGTTTGTGGTTGCTAAGGTAATGGAACTGGCCAGTCGCAGACCTTGGTTTAGGCGTATTCTCCGTGCTCGATGCCACTGATGACACAGCATGCAAAAATCATTGCAAGGATCTGCGGCCAACAAAAGACAGAGTCAATGAGACTTTACTGTGTCCATAAGCTGGATAGTGAGCCGCAAGCGAATTAAGACGGTCCCCAAAGTCGCCAAAACTCTCAGTGACCTATAAACCTGAACCAATCGTCACTCAATTGACGAAGAGTTCTTGATCAAGTGATGCTTTTGAACTGATCACAACACCTGTACAATAGGCCTGTACACGTACACGCGCCATTTTTGTTGAATTTGGTAAGGTATGCTTGCTTCTTTCAACCTTCGACGTCAACTTTGGGCGTCCTGTCGATGTCACGTGATTCTTTTAGCCTTCCGTGGACCAGAGCTCCCGTGCCTAGCTCGCTCGTAAAATGAATGTCACAATGAAGTCCTAGTTTTTACCGCTATAGTACATCGACATGTAATTAAGACTACTTTTACGTACGTTTTGTGTTTTGAACTGTGACGTCGTTTCATTGCGTAACCTTTGAATTTTTTTCTCACGACAAAGTGCCTCGTGGGGGCGATATAAGATTAGCTCATATACCACTGACGTCTTATAAAACTGGACTGGCTGACAAAAATGCCAATGTGAGACGTTGGTGGCAGCAAACACACCGGTCCTTTTTCCATTGTTTGCGTCATACTGTGCATGTACACTCTGAAAAGGACCGTTGTGTTTGCTGCCGCCAACGCCAACGTCTGAACTGTCCACAGTCTTGGGTCACCCATGACGCATGCGCAGTAAACTCGAGTTTTTTTTAAGTGTAGTTGGTATTTGGATTCTTCTTCAGAGTTAAGTCGGCGGAAATAATAATTGCATTTTCTGACCGGCTTTTGAGATTTAAAAATCCTTTTCTCAGTTTAGGACTGATTAGTATAGTTGTTGTTTCAAGTAATACTAAATAAAAACTGAACTACAGAACGAAGTACAATAATCCAAGCGGATCAGTTACTTTAAGGCGCAATGGCCCATTTAGCCGCCTTTTTAGCTAATGGACGTGCGAGGTGAGCAAAAAATAGTCCAGAGAAATAGTCCAGAGAACTAGAAGCTTAAAGATCTCTCCCAAATCACGTCACTGCCGACAAGTCGTCACGTGCATCAGCATTTCGGGAGCCGAAATTTTCGTGACGCGCATGATGGCGCATCGGCTGCGCTGCATAAACCTTTCTACACTTGGTTGGCAAACTGCACATTTTGCCAACCAAGGGTTGCAAAACTATGGAAGGCCCAACGCTGCAAAAATGAAGAAGAGTTATTACAGATGACCCAAATATTGGAAACACAACATTGTCAACAAGACTACAACATAATTCCTACACATGCTTTTTTGGGGGGTGTTATGAGGAATTTTTTGGAAAAAAATGTGTTGCCAACCATGCGCTTAATTGCGGCAGCCCATATAAAATGGCGCCAAAGTTTACAAAACAAAAGATAGGTCTGTTTCGAGCAACACTCAACAGTGTTTGTACACTGCGCGCACACGTACCTGATTGCGTTGAATACTCAGTTGTAATTTTCCTACGAAGATGGCTGAATAGTATGAGAGGGGTCTACCCGGTTCGTTAGTAAAATCATCATACACGTGTGCGCACCACAGATTAGGCCAAAAAAGTCTCCGGTTTCTGGTATGGAGCTTGCCCAAAAAGTGGTGCGGCGACGCAGCGCTTTTTTTACCTGTTTTTGTTTTTGCTTAAAATGTCGGCTGAAGACTGCAAATGGTGCCCGACTAAACTTGTGCAAATATATGGGAGTCCAGAGAGGCCACGTAAAGCTTATTCTCGATCATAATCCCATCTAAAATCACGTTAAAATTGTGCAGCAGCAGGATTCCAGTCGAACCAGTGAATTTGGCGGTTTTGAGACATCATCCTTTATTGAAAAAAACCCAACTTTTTTATTTTGCCGACGCGCATGGCTACGGCGACGCGCGTGCAGCCCAGAAACCGGAGACTTTCTTTTTTGCCTTACCAGTGCCCACTGGATAAACACTCAATTGTGTTAGCTTAATGGCCAGCGGGCGTGGTTTAAAAGGAACTGACGCCACACTTACGAACCGGATACTCGAACGCACAACAAATACCTGAATCAAAACATTTTAACATAGCTCTATGATCAAAACTCACCTCAGCAGCTACCAGCCCCAGAGCCACAGCTCCGATGATTAGGAAGTTGTCCTTGAAGAAATTGACCACTTCGTCCGTGCATCCCTACGAAACAAAGGAGAGCATCGCACGGTTATATTTAACTGTTTTCTGGGGCCTGCAAGATAGAAGGAATTTGGTATAGGGTCCGAACAACCTGTTTGATGAACAGGCAAAATAGGCCAATCATGTCGCTGCTTTACCGCAGCATTGTGCACTTTTGGTGACCATTGCTTCCCTTTTTATTACCTCTTTACTAACACAGACGTGGGCACCGGACATCGATAAAAACACGTAGCTTAGTGGTCAGACTAATCTGCCCAAACCGTCTGAGTTTAGCAAAATATAATTTGATAACGAAATACGAGGGTACCTGGACGCAGCAAGTATGCACCTCGATGAAAAGAAACAAACATTTGGAGACACGACAATTGAACGTTTGAAAATTGGAAGATAAGAAACGGATGTATTATTTGAAGGAAGGTTGTTCCGGATTTTTGGTCACTGGAACAAAATGTAAACCGTACATTGAGCAATTCGATTTTACTACCTTGGGGGTCACTCTTTGAAGTATTCGACCAAAGCATAACAATTAACGAAAAATTTTGCCAAAATGCGGAGCGACAGGTACCCGTTTCATAATAGTTCGAATAATATTTGTAAATAATAATAATGAAATAGTGTAGGTTTCCCGTCCCATTTCAAACCCTGCTCGTTTAGTCATGCAAATCTTTCATTCAAGTTCGCATGTATTAAATGGGCAAGCCTTGTCACACCCGGTTCAATGGCGAAAGTTAAAAAAACTAATGATTGCAGGGTAACTTCGTTCACGCGTAAATGGCAGGCAGCAAATTACGGAACGTATGCATTTACATTCGTGAGCCTCGCATTTCAGTCCCGTTTATAAATCAAGTTGGTGCATCCTACGTTTTCCAAAGAATAACTCATGATAAATTGAACAGCTGCAATAACAAGACAGTTATTTGACAGCGTGTTCAAGTGTTAAAACAGAGTTAAAACGACATGATATTGAGAATGTTTCATAAGGGAATGTACAGGGTGAGTAAAATAAAAAAGAAACCCAAATGGTGCCTCCTATTGTTTTTTTTAATTGTTTTTAAAAAGAAGTTCAGCACGTAGCGTATTCCAAATCAAGGGTATGAAAGCCCAATTAATAAGCTTTCTTGAAGTGAAAGAATAATTCCAATCGCTCATGTACTTTTCCAGTACACTTTTTTTATAACCATGTCCACGGATCACGATAATTAAAGGTAGGTGATATTTCGGCAAAACGAAACTATTCACATACCCCCCCCCCAAAAAAAACCCCATCAGAACTCCATCATTTTCTGCTATCAGAAAAGCAGATTTGACGTTTTGTACAATGCATTTTCGACTTGTTTATTTGTCTGTTACCTGAAAAGCAGATTGAACGTTTTGTAAAAATACATTTTACTACTTTTCTGCATGCTACCTGAAAAGCAAATTTTACTTTTCCTCCTTTTCCTGGCGGACGAAAAGTGACTATTTGCTTTTCTGCTATCAGAAAAGCAGATTGACCGTTTTGTGACAATGCATTTTCCTGCTTTTTTTTTCTGCCACCTGAAAAGAAGATTTTACTTTTTATTCCCATTCATAAATGTTTGATGGTCTTAAACAGCTGCAACCATATGACTTTATACACAGGTCATGATAAGTTACCCAGAATGCCATCCCCACCTCCTTCACAAGATTATAATTCTGTGAAGCTCATCAGCGTGTCCCAGCGCCCTGTTTGCAGGGCGGGGGGGGGGGGGGGGGGGATACGAGCGAAGATTTGGAAAACGATGGGCGTGCAGAAATTCTTAAATAGGGGCATCATTTGGGTTTCCTTTTGTTTTTTGTTTTTTTACTTATACCCTGTACAGCTTTTACAAGGAAAAATCAGACACAGTCATGTAGACCAAATACTGACCAGTTTGTCAATTGGTTTGACCACTTTGTTGAGATATCAACTCTATAAAAAAAAATTACAAAATTGATAAAATGAAAATAACTTTAAATGAAACTGATGTTACAATAGACCATGTTTGTTAACACATTGGATGATGTGGTCACGTGATGCCCACTTTGAATGAACACATTTAAACGAATTCGAATGCTCTAATGGCAAAACCCTGCTTTATGAAACCTCTTGAAATGGAGTGCACAGTCAGTCCGAGTGAATGAACAAGTTGCAAAATTGGACGGGATAACCTATACTTTTTCTCATCCATATAATAATATATCGTACTTCGAGGTAGATCGCTGTGTCGTCAGCGATGTCATCACCTCCAGTAGTGGCATCGTTGCATCCGGCCTCATATGTTTTGCAGCAAGAAGCGGGCACGTAGAGGCCTGCATTTACAGTATTATTTTGAAACGCTGTGTTCTTCCATGACTTGTAGTCCGATGATCCACAACATTTGAAGGCCTGTGAGGATTACAATCAAAGAGAAATCAGATTCAAAATCAGGCACAAAACCGACTGAGACCCGGACCCGGACCGGGACCGGGACCCGGACCCGGGCCAGTGGCGCGGGGAGGGGGAGGGGCCAGGGGAGCACTTTGCCCCCCCCCCGGCGGATTTTTTTCGGCAATTATTTTTGTCAGCAATGATTGAAATAAATGTTTTTAGAGTTCTTCTGAAATCAATCCCATCAAAGAAAACCCGCTCAACAAAATATGTCCATGTAATATGTAGTATGCATAATAATAGTCAGTTTTGAAGAGCGCCCCCATTTGGAAGATGGGTACAAGCCCCCCCCCCCCATTTCCCCCCCCTTTTATTTTACCGGAGAGCAAGTGTCCGGAGAGTGTCGGCACTGATATCAAAAGCTGGATACGCGGCTGACCAGGGCCCAGGACCCAGACCCCGGACCCAGACCCCGACCCCCGACCCAGACCCCCAACCCAGACCCCCGACCAAGACCCCTGGCGCAGACCCCCGACCCAAACCCCAGACCCAGACCCCCGACCCAGACCCCCGACCCAGACCCCCGACCCAGACCCTCGATCCAGACCCCCAGACCAAGACCCTCGACCCAGACCCCCGACCCAGACCCCCGACCCAGACCCCAGACCCCCGACCCAGACCCCCGACCCAGACCCAGACCCAGACCCCCGACCCAGACCCCCGACCCAGACCCAGACCCCCGACCCAGACCCCCTACCCAGACCCACTACCCAGACCCCCTACCCAGACCCCCGACCCAGACACCCGACCCAGACTCCCGACCCAGACCCCCGATCCAGACCCCCTACCCAGACCCCCAGACCCAGACCCCAGACCCAGACCCAGGACCCAGCCCCAGACCCCCGACTTAGACCCCAGACCCAGACTCCCGACCCAGAACCCCGACTCAGACCCCAATCCAATCCAATCCAATCAAATCAATTTAATAGTCCTGTCAATTTAGAACAAAACAGGGCCTGACCTAGAACAAATTGCAATAGAATTTATTTAAATGCTATCACGCTAAGAAAATATTACTTTTTAACATATCGGTTTTCCCAGCTATTTTAATACTTGAATCACACGAATTCCCTATATCGATACTTTAATTTCGTCCCCGAACATCGCCAAGCTCACTTCTCAGTTTGAATTTCAGAAAGCCACCACTAGATTTCATTTAAGGTTCAGTATAATTCAAATTGTTAGCATTCCGATTCGTCCAAAATCTTTGAAATTCGTCTCGTGAAGCCATCGGCGTCACAAAGCAAATTCTTTTTTTGTCAATCGTTTTCATGTTGTTGTCATTACATTTCGTCCCTGGTGACTTAAATCGTATACGATGCGCCCAACATTTAGACTTATTTGAAGAATAATGCGAATTAAAACAATAACAAATCAACATATATTTCCTTACATGTATAAATAAAAGTAGTTAGCTGTAAGGTATGAATTTTTATTTCTGTGTTTCACAATTAACATTCGAGTCAAAAATTGACATTTCACAATATGCACTTAAATGACATGGACACTAAGCATTAAGTTCAAAGACCTTCTTAATGTTGTTCTTTGATCGACATACCTTATTTCTGTTGTTTATTCATATACATATATCAAAGAGCAACATTACGAAGCAAAGAGCATATTGTGAAAGTTCAATTTCTGATTTTAATGTTTATTGTCAAAGAAAACTCAAAACTTACAGCTATACTTTCATTTATAAGGAAATATTTCTTAACAATTAAAATTTAATTAATCCCCAATAAGTCCAAAGATTGGGCACATATTTAATTGTAACGTTTTAAGTCACCAGAGACGAAATGTAACAAGAACATTAAAACGAATGACAAAAAACGAATTTGCTTTTTCAATTCAACGCCTATTGCTTCACGAGACGAGTTTCAAAGATATTTGACGAATTGGAATGCTAACAATTTGAATTATACTGAACCTTAAATGAAATCTAGTGGTGGCTTTTTGAAATTCAAATTGAGAATTGAGCTTGGCGATGTTCGGGGACGAAATTAAAGTATCGATATAGGGAATTCGTGTGATACAAGTGTTAAAATAGCTGGGAAAACCTATACTAAAAATCTAAATTTATCAAAGGAGTGGAAAAGTTTTTTTTATTCACTTTGTCGCTACTAATTTTCATCATACGTAAACAGCCGTATGGAGAGCGTCATGTTTTCTTTTGCGCCCGTTACTCGTCAGAAAATCCGTTTACATCACGTATGAGACTTCGCGAGACACGACCGATCACAGCAGACGACTTTTCTATGTCAACCAATTATTAAAATATATGGTAATTTACACTGCCGCATAATACTAAAGGATATTTTCTTGAAAAAAAATCAAGAAATTTGAGGGTATTTTGCTTTCCGAGATATTCATTGGTTAAATAAATCACTTTGTGCCCCCCAAAATCTTTGTATAAACAGGCATATGAATTTCTTAGCACAACCTAAGCGACAGGCTTCCGCTGCATTTTGTGCAAAGCGGAAATCCTCCAGAAAACCTCAAAAAAAAACCCGCACGATTTATTTCCTTTTTAAGAACATAACTTTTGAACCCTCGATGCTTTCAAGTTCGTTCTTTCGGCAAATTGAAAGTTCATTATTCCTCTTTTTAATGATATTTTTAGATTATTTTTTAAATACTTTAAAGATCCGTCATTTTCCAAGTACAAACAGTCGGTATCTCCAATTTTACAATGCAAAAACGATGTTCACGAAGAATCCTGTCACACAACGCGGCTCATATGAACTCACTTTTCTGGACGCCCTCTACCGATTTCTTTCGTGCGAGCTATGAAATAAACAGCATGAGTTTGTCCAAAGCTGATGTAAAAATGAAGTAGATTGACCAATGTTAAAGCCCGTCCATTTCAGCCTAAAGTTTTTGCGCTAATCAGAAGCGTTGTTTGAAACTGCATTGGAACGTGTACGATCAACAGATGATAATCGACCTACTCCCATCGGCTACTTGAATAAAGGGCGGAGATCCATTTCAATTTAAATGTTAGGTGTCTACGCCAAAAGGCCAGAGTCTTATTTTAAATATTAGAAAATATCCGAAATCCAAGATTCATACGTTCCTTTTGTGATGAATTTAGGTCATTGCATAACTTATAAATAAGATATAAATTATAAAAAAAAATGAACATTTTCTAAAGCCTGGCAAATTAACGGGATTAAAAGTTTGCAGATTATTTTTTTGCTGAATTCTGCGCTTTAGAGAAAAGAAATATAGTGTGACAAGTGTATATTACGTCTACAAATAATACTTGTTCCACAGATCAAAGCCTTGGGGGGGGGGGGGGGGGTGCCAATGAGATCATTTTTTTTTTAAGTTTTAACAACGCGAGGTCTGTTCCATCCAAAGAATCGTTTTGTTGGGACTCCATTAGCTTTTCTGGAGTAGTTCATTTCACTCTTGACTGTACAAGCAGATGTCTCAATCAATGTTCATACCTCGATCAGGATCTTCTCAAGTTAGCTGTTAAAAGTTTCTGTACCGTACTTATGAAAAACATGGAAAGCTCATGCATAAAACTACATCCGTTTTTCATCAACCTCGCCCATTAACCTTTAGTTTCTTTGTGATGCAAGGGTTTTGAGATATTTTGTTTCATATTTTCATGTACTAACAATATGCACAGTAAGCTTCACAATCTGAGCTCAGCAGTAGGCCCCATTCCTGAATTTTCTTAATCAAATCCAACGCATCATTTTAGGCGCTCAATCAATAATATTTATTTAAAGATTTTAGCTTTACTTTCAAAACGGTCCATGTATGCACTGTCCAACCGTTTTCCATCTGTGTATGATCAAAATGATGTTTAGACATCCCTGGCCCTTTTTGCAAATAATTGTATCTCGTCTGTGGACTTATTGCGCAAAAGTTTCGGCGGAATATCGTCCAATCCATCCGCAGTGCCCTGTATAAAATTATGATTTGAAACAGTCGTCTGCTGCACTTGCATGTGGTCATGATTCCTAAAAGTTAGCTTATATAGACATGTAAATCACAGCAAGTCACCAGACGAATTGTTCGAGGACAAAATGTCCAAAATTTTTATCTGAAAAATAATGCTTGAAAAACATCCTTCCACTCCATAGAAACAATTCGATTTTTTCACATGTTGTTTGTGTATTTATGTAAAGTTAAGTCGTTTGACGCTTGAATGGTTACGATTGCAATTTGTTCTAGGTCTAACTTACATTGACCGGACTACCTATGCGTTAACCAAGAACGTTTATACCTTACCAATTGGATGGTGTCAACGAAATCAGGTTTATCCTTAACGTACTCCGCTGTCTTCAAATTCATCTGCTCTTTCCAGACATCGGTCGCAGTCTTTTCGATCTGCGGATCATCAAATCAATGAAAAAAGATATGCACAAATACTGCAAGGACTAGCTTTGTTTGAAGAAAACAAAATCGCAAGGTAAACACGGAATTTACTGAAATAGGCCTAATGAAAAAGAAATCGATGCATTAAGACACTCTGATGAATGGACCGATCCAGTAAGCACCGCCCCATGGTGTTCTGACCAATCACAGCCGTGATTTATGTCCGACATGCGCGCACATAAGTCCGACATGCGTGCACGCGCGTGTGATGCGCGTGGAAGAAAAAAGGAAGCGTGGCATTGGAGAGTAGCACGTATTAATTTGCCCACGTGCGCAGTGGGCGGAGCTTACTGGATCGGTCCATTGACCGATACCGTATCGCTAACCGATAAGGTAACAAAAATGTAAAAAAAAAGAGCGTAGTCAACGTTACTACACTATCAGTCAATTTTTGCTACATTATCGGTAAGGATTAATGCGCCTATATCATTATTGTATATTTTTGTAATTGTTTGATTTGAGGAATCTTTATTATTTTTTGTTCCACAATTTTTTTATTTATTGATATTATTTAATTTTACTATTGATTTAATTTCACTATAGTATTTATTCATTGGTTTATTTTTGGTGTTTTAGTCAGTTTTGCTCTATTCAATATTCTTGAAATTGATCAAACTTGTTACTTTTGTTTCCTTTGCTTTCCAAACTTGTCTTTGGATTGTGTGTGGGCAAATCACCCGACTTTATTAGTTTTTTTTTTAAACAGGTGCGCGTTACACTTTGTCGCATGGAACTCTGGGGGCCGAAGTCACTTGTCCTTAATACTGGAGCGCCAAGTAACTCCAGCTCCAATGCATGTCGAATTGATCAATTGAATTCGACATTTAAAGCTGGAGACAGAACATAGCGGATCGGAAATGGCAGAGTCCCTTAATTAAGAGCGGACTCCGGGTAAGCAAGAACATTGGAGCTGGAGTTCCTCAAGCTTATTTGTATAGTGCACCTAGCAGAATCGTGCCATTTCTATACGGTCAGCCTGGCAGGATAGTTAATACACAAATACACTCACGCTATTCCTGAAGACGAGGGCCAAGATTCCTCCGACGATCTCTAGGATGACAAGCAACAGCAGCACGGCGATGTACTGTGAAAGAGGATAAAAAAAATAGTGACAACACTACCACCGTTGAGAAGACCAGACAATTAGGCAAACCTCGTGGAGCTGGCCCCAGAGAGCATATACCGTGTTATCCAATACGGGCGAATCCCAACAGTGCGCCACCAAGAGCTTGCAACGTAGACTCCGTTTTCAATTGGAGACTTTGGAGACGTTGGTGGCAGCAAACATACCGGTCCTGTTTCATTGTTGCGTAATATTGAGCATGCGCGCTTTGGCTTAAATATGTCGTAAACAGTTGAAAAACTGCGCAATAGTCGTAGCCTTGTTGCCATTTTGTGATTGGACGATGAACGACATTCGTTTGATGGTGTCTTCATATCGCCAGTGCAAGTAGCTTATGCTGCAAGCGCGGTTGCAAGTAGCGCTGCTTACGCACCTGGGATCCGCACTCGGTATACCATACAATACAATCATTTTAGCGACGGTCTGTTATCATAAATGGACATCATAAAAAAATAGAATTTCAATAGAAATAGAAATGCATGAAAGTGAATACGGAATTGAACTGTTAAGTAATTAGTTCTTCCGGTCGCATCATCAGTCCTTTTAGATATTATAGGGAGGTATTTTAAAAAAAAACTTCTTAACTATTTTCAAATTAAAACAATGATTGAAAAGAAAAGCAGGGATCAATTTAATTTGCATAATATGTACATCAAATAATTAAATTTACATTCGTAAAATAATTTTTTTTTTAAAGAAAACATGAATAAAGATGAATAAAATAAGTTGTTTTTAAAGAGAGAAGTAATTCTTCCATTCTCAAAGTTTACGCACAAAATTAATGTCCAACGAATCATTGCAGATATCTTGCAATGTTCATTTAAATATCGAGATATATACACAGTAGGGTTTTGTGAAATGATTAAAAGTTTTCCTTTCCCCCTTTCTGTATCATTATGTGAACGAAATGTGTCACAGAAAAACATGGTCTTGTACGATGAACATGTACATGCGGCGCCCGTACGTGTACATGGTACCGTACGTCGTACTTGCGTACATGTGCAAGCAACGTCGTTAATTGTCCAATCACAAAATGGCAACAAGGCTACGACTATTGCGCAGTGTTGAAAAAGGACCAGTATGTTTGCTGCCACCAACGTCTCAAAAGTCTCTCATTACTTTGCAGTGGACAAAATAGACACTTGCCGAGATTTGAACGAATGTCAATAGACGTCTTGAGTAAACTTTGAATACTTTCTGCCGCGTCAAAGAAAACACCATCATGAAAAAAGGAAAAGGAACAAAAATACTCGAAATATACGCTTACGAAACTACTGAACGGACAATGGTATGTGGGACACAGACGCACATTATTCCGTATTCCACTCGCGCTCGCAGGATAACTTATATTATCTTCAAGTAAAATTGAATCCTCTATCCTGATTGGTCGATCCTTGGCAACAAGCAGTGCTACGTATAAGCATGTAGCACGGCCACGGTCCATACCGCACTCCGCGTAATAAACTAACTAATAAACTAACAATTTTAAGTGTCCCGCGCTGGTGTATTTTATCGTTGTAACCTCTTGGTGGCGCACTCCATTAGGAATCACGTCCGTATGGAGTCAAATCAGACTGGCTATTCACCATGCTTCTGGTCTGCGCGATAAGCCGAATTTAGCCAATTACGGGGTTATCCCATACGACAGGACTGCCCGGCCCGATCTCTTCACCGGCCTGCATCAAGTCTAAGCAAAAGTGATAGTTAACCAGTCAGTCATCGGGGAGTCGGGGAGTCAGTAAATAAATGAGATAGGTAAACAAAATAGGCTGGCCTCTGGCGTGCCAGGAAAACAGGTAAAAGGAAATACTCGAGCATAAATAGCGCAAGAATCTCGAAAACGCTCTTTTTTTTCACGGGGAGACATAAAAAGTTCAAATGTTACAATCTTCTCCAGCCAATACGCAGTATCACATTTCATATTAATATGAGCAGATTGGAAAGTGTGGATGTAATAATTAAAATGAACGTGAATAATTAAAATGAACGTGAAAACACGTAATACACGTTGAAAATAACAACACCAAGTACACAATAAAAATCTATTACTTGCCAATTTCGGTATCGAATCATTCAGGCAACAGGCAGAAAGATTCCTATCCAGGGCTTACTATTGGAAACGGGGTTGAAATAAAGTAAGCCCCGGGGACGAGGTTGTCATGTTTCCTAATTCCAATTTCAAACCGTCACACACTTTCATGGCAACCGAGCTAATTCTATAAACATACAATAGATTTGCAGGTGTTTGATAAACGCAACTAGGTTTATCTAGTTTTGATTTTTGGCTGTTTCGGCAACAATGCCGAAACAGCCTTTGTTTTCGTTAAGATTTTTTTTTTTTTTTTTTGCTTTTTCGCAATTTGCGAAAAAGCCTTTCTTTTTGTTCGGATTTTTTTTGGGGGTTCTTCTTTTTGTTCCATGCAAAATCCCATAGACTTTGTACACGATTTTAGTACACGCCACTTTTGGCATTGAACTTTATCGTACATCATTCAAATTAAGCATATGCATTGTCCTTAAGGCAAATTGTGTCCCGAAGAGTGACGTCATGATTACGTCATCATGGGTCACGTGACATCATCACAAACGTGCATATTTTGAAGTCCTATATCTACAGAACTGTAAGTCCGATTGGGTTGAAACTTGGTATGTGGGTAGACAGGAATGTGTTATAGATGAATCATAAGGTGACGTCATGATGACGTCGTCATGCGATTTTATATGAATTTTTGAACTGTTGGACCTTCAAGCCATATCTCACGAACGTAACATGCTAAATTCAAAATTCATTTTGTATTTAGTTTATTAGATTATAGGTATATGCACAAAATTTTGAAAAATGTCTGATGTCATCATGACGTCATCAAAAATGCAAATTTTAAAATACACATAAGGGAAGGTCCGATTGTCATGAAACTTGGTGGGTAGGTAGATAATGGTACTGGTATGCAAAATCTAAAGTGATGTCACGATGACGTCATTGGATGATTTTTTATGATTTTTAAAAATATTTATAATTGTATTCTGTTTCCAAAATTGTACACTTCCGTTCCTCGAATTGATTTCAAACTTGGTACAATGAAAAAATATTACTCATAAATAAGCATAATGCGAAAAAGCCCTATGTTCTGTTGCCAACAGACATAGAACCTCTAGTTTTTCTTCTTTTTGATCTTTTTGGGTCCACCCTAAATCCCATTGACTTTGTACACGTTTTTGGTGTGACCCACTTTTGACCTAAAACAAAGTCCTTTTCCAATGAAACTTATCTCAGGTAAAGACCCCATAGTGAAGTTGTGTCTCGAAGAGTGACGTCATGATTACGTCATCATGGGTCACGTGAGGTCATCACAAACGTGCATATTTGGAAGGCCTATATCTACGGAACTGTAAGTCCGATCGGGTTGAAACTCGGTATGTTGGTAGACTGGGATGTGTTATAGGTGAAAATTGAGGTGACGTCATGATGACGTCATTGTGCGATTTTATATGATTTTTTGAATTTTTGGAGCTTTAAGCCATATCTCAAGAACGCAACGTGCAAAATTGAAAATTCTTTTTGTATTATGTGTGTTAGGTAATACGTGTTTGCCCAAAATTTAGAAAAAAATTGTGACGTCACGATGTCGTCATCAAAAATGCCATAAGGGAAGACCCAATTGTCATGAAACTTGGTGGATTGGTAGATGGTGTCACAAGTATGCAAAATCTGAAATGACGTCACCATGACGTTATCGGTTTATTTTTTATGATTTTATAACTATTTAAAATTTTATTGCCTTTTCAAAGTTTTACACTTTGTTTCATTGGATTAACGTCAAACTTGGGGCACATCAAGACTACAATAAAAAATATGTGCACTGACAGGAATTGTTATGATGACGCCATCATGGGACACGTGGCGTCATCACAAACGTGCATATTTTGAAGTCCTATATCTACAGAACAGTAAGTCCGATTGGGTTGAAACTCGGTGTGTCGGTAGACTGCGATGTGTTATATATAAAAATGAGGTGACGTCATGATGACGTAATTGTGCGATTTTATATGAATTTTTGAAATTTTGGACCTTTAAGCCGTATCTCACGAACGCAACATGCAAAATTCAAAATTCCTTTTGTATTTTGTTTGTTAGGTAATAGGTATATACACAATTTTCTTTTAAATTTGTGACGTCACGATGACGTTATCAAAAACGCGAATTTCCAAAACACATATAACAGAAGTTCCCATGCTCATGAAACTTTGTGGATAGTTAGAGAATAACACAAGTATGCAAAATTTGAAATGACGTCTTCATGACATTATCGGTTGATATTTTTATGATTTTTTTATTTTTAAGATTTTATTCCGCTTACAAAATTTTACACTATCTTTCATGGGATTTACGTCAAACTCGTTGCACATCAAGACCATAATGAAAACATGTGCATTGACAAGTGTTGTTACGATGACGTCATTGCGGGACATGTGACGTCATGTTAAAAGTTGTAAATTTTAAAGTCCTATACATGTATGTGAAGAATTAAGTCTTCTAACTACGGTATCTAATTGCATATGGACAAAACACCCCCCCGCAAAAAAAAAAAAAAAATACGGCAAAGCCCTGTGTTCTGTTCATCGAACAGACATAGCTCTAGTTTTTTTATAGTTTTTTTCCAGTCATTTGCCCATTGCATTTGTACACGTTTTTTTTTCCCCCGCCCTTAGGGCAATGAAATCAATCCGATTACCTTTATATTTGGCACACACTAAGACCAGCATCTGAAGTTGTGTGCCGAACATTGACGTCATTATGACGTCATCAAGAGTCACGTGACGTCACATTATATGCGATATTTCTATTGTGACCATTTTCTAGCAGAATTCGGCTAGATCTGACAGATTGGGCTATATCTCCAGGTCAGATTGGGTTGAGATTTGGTATGTACCTAGACTGGGATGTCTTATAGATGAAAATTAACTTGACGTTACGATGACGTCATCACGTGACATATGACGTCATATAAAATAAACATATTTTGAAGGCCTATATCTCCAGAATTGCAAGTCCGATTGGGTTGAAACTTGGTATGTACCTATAAACCGGGAAGTGTTATAAATTGAAGTGACGTCACGATGACGTCATCACGTGACATGTGAAGTTTCAATAAAAGTGCAGATTTTGAAGGCCTATATCTACAGAATTACAAGTTTGATTTGGTCGAAAGTTGGTCGGTACTTAGACTGGGAGGTGTTATAGATGAAAATTTAAGTGACGTCACGATGACGTCATCATGGGGTACGTGACGTCACGTTAAAGATTATTAGATTTAATCTTTGAAAATCACTATTCGACTATTCACGTTTGCAGGAATGGATAGAATAATCCAGGGTCTTCATTTTGTAAAATCACGTGACCCTTCCTTCCGGTTGAAACCAGAAGTGCCTTGTAATTTAAAATTGGTGAAAGATGGGAACTTGCTTTCAACGATGTATGCTCTGGCTAAGTTGTTCTTTACCATAAAATTATAGTTATTCATAAAAATTGATGTGACGTCATCATGACATCATCACGTGATATGTGACATCATAATTCAAAGCCCTATGACAATGTAATCACATTATATGCCACCATTTATTATAAACAGAACTACACATCCTTCCTTGATGGAACTAATATACTTGAAACTTTACATGTCAACGTAACATAAAAATTACCGAAACAGCCCTGTGTTTGTCCACAAACATAAATCTAGTTTAGTGTTTGATTCACTCACTATTTTCAGCATGCCGGCACTTTCCTTACATGCGCCGAAACATCCGGCGAAGGCAAGGAGAAATACCAGGCATCCCACCGCGATGATCACACCGCATGCTATGTTGAGCGTGTTGGCGGAATCACCGAAGAAAGCGCCATAGTCAGCGGGCCGAGCGACCACGTATCCTCCCAGGGCGATCAACGCGATGGCAACGAGCTATGCGGAAAACAGAACAGAAGAAATAGTTGTTACCTCTCATACATTTTTATGAGCCAAACGCGCTTCTTTCATTGGTCGCTTTTCCAATGCGTCAGGGAATTCTAAAGGAAGCTACACCCTGCTCTCGTGAGGCACGTACATGTACTATTTCCCCACGTGTTTTTGATAGTACAGTTTACATTTGGCTATAAAGAGCATCCATTTGGCTCCTGAATAATTTGATTCTAATACATGTACAATGCACAATCACTCTAACAAACAACCACGATAACGAACCTTTTTTACGGACCCAGCGTGTTCGCTATAGTAACGTTCTATTGTACATGATTAAGTCCTTCACTTTTAAGTATATGGAAAAGTGTAGATTACCGCAAGTAAAGCTTACTGCATGGTGGTACCGAATCATAAAGCTTTATGACAGACGACATACAAATTGAGTGGGAGCTAGGGTTTCCCACAGAAATTGTCCACTCCAGCTAAATAATATATGATGTCTTTTAAAACAAACACAAACTGACTTCAGCCTGACACAAATATCGAAAGAATACAGCTTTTCCCTCCTTTAACGAATGCATAAAAAACGACACCAAAATTCTTTCTCAAAGAAAAAAAAACCCTCCAAGACTTGTTTACTGATACATACCCAGAGTATGGAGTTGAAGACGAAGAGAACCATCTTCGACAGTTTAGCACCGCACCCGGCCACCATTTTGATTGTGTGTTTCTTCTTCTTTTACCCAAAACAAATCCTGTTTTTGATGAAAGAGAAACATCAGAAAAATGTAATGATTATGTGTAGACTATTTGCATAACACTACAGAAACTTGAAAATAAAACCCAGAACATTCTGCGTTATTAACGGTGAGTGTGTTAGAAGCCTTAGCGATTAATTATCGTACATCATAAAATTAAGTTTGTTTTCTATTTCTTTTTAGTTGAACAAAGAAATTATTGACTGGAGCGGGGTTTTGAACCTGCGACCATCGGGTTACGGTTCCGGTGCTCTACCAACTGAGCTATCCAGCCGTATGTTGGCAGATCCCCGATACGTCAATGTCTTTGTTCATGGGGCGCTAGTCAGAAGCCATAAATCCGTATATGCCATGTAGCAGCCAGGGATCATTATACCCAGCACGATATGGGACGGAGGGTTCACCCGCCCCTATCTCCAATAATAATAATAATTCTAATAATAATTTGGGAGGCTAATCATCCTTACTGGCAGATGGGATGCTGAATTGCGAAGGACGCGGCTACAACGTGGTCGGGCCGCTGGCACGTAAAGGCGCCTATGGCTGCCGGCCACATGGACCCATATATGACCACGGAGCACAGCCTGAGATCGAAAGTGTTTGATTTTTCCGGAGGGAGGAAAACCGGAGGGCCTGGAGAAAAAAACCCTCGTGGCACAGGAGAGAACCAACGTACAACTCTACTCTCATGTGATCCGCGGCCAGGATTCGAACCGTGGTCACCTTGGTGAGAGGCGAGCGCTTTACGCACAAGCGACCCATGCCTCCCTATACCCTATACACACCATAGACTACACATCCCCTAGATATCTCACAAGTACGGTGGCCCTGGAACGACATTTTAATATTGACTTTTTTAATGTGAACCTTGTAACTTCTTAATATTGACGTTGTAACTTCGCAACGTTCACAGTGCGAAGGTACATGGTTCATATTGCGAAGAAGCAAGGTGCAACGTTGACATCAAGCATGATCAATGGTGTACATTGACAAGATCGAACGTGAATATTAACAAGTTGGAACATTCGCATTAAGAAGGAACAACTTCCACAATGCGATATTAAAGGGAATATACATCATTTGCTTTCGCTGTAATTTTCAGAAATGGATGGAATTGGGGGGTTGGAAATATAAAGCAAATATAGTTACACTGACTTTTTGGAGGTTTTGGGTTCGAAAATGCTATAAAAACCAAGAAAAACGATCATTTTCCTGTAGTCTGGTTCCCCGACTCCATATAAGAAGAAACAGAGCAGTTTACATACATTGGGGAATTGTAAGGTCAGGGAACCAGTCTAGCTGGCTCGTACCCGTTCATAGGTTTGTAATCGATTGCAAACAAGTGCAATGGTCAATTGGGGCCAGTATTTGAAAAAAAGCCAGTTGTTTCCAACGCTGATCGGCCGATCAGCGTTGGAAATTGATACAAAAATAGCACTTTTCTTGAAAATGACAGTATACCAGGTGCCATAATTTTACAGGATGCTTTAGACTGTCATTTACCAACATCCTATTAAGGTATTTCGCAAAAACATGGTAGTTTTATTTTTGGATGTTTGCAAATGTTGTATAATCCCTTTAAGGTAGGTACGTGCAACGTGCATATTGTGAAGGTACAACGTCAATATTAAGAAGTTACAAGGTTCATATTAAAAAGGTCAATATTAAAATGTCGTTCCAGGGCCACCGTACATGCTCCCCGGATACTAATCAGCTTTCCAACTTCACCATGTCAAAGGTCAGATTGCCAGGAACTATAGTCGTGATTTCTTGAACACTGCAAGTTGTGAAGTAATGAAAAACGATTATTATCCACTTTTCAGGAACATCAGCATGTAACAATATTAAACTGTTCAGATTTGTCGGTCAAACATATTTTGGTTAACAAACAACTGTATTTTTGGCGCCAATACCTGAGGTTTTTCAATGGAATCTGATATACCACAACACATTCACTTTGGAAAGTGTTCTCTCATTGATTTACGATGGATCAATTCTATACAAAACGTAAACTGATTAAATTACATATCTATAACTGTTGTGAGTGCGAGTTGTTGTAACTGTTTTATTGTCGATTTAATATAATGGGACTGACGGGGCCAATGTGGGCGATATGCGGGCCCCAACAGTCAAACAAAGAGTTCCAAATATCTACAGACGCTAAACCAATTGGCGTATCCGGGGTTGGTGGGGGCCTAGGTGGGTCTCACAGTCGCTACAAGTACTGGTTACCCTTCCCCGATTTGTACCACATTTACGAAGGTGGTACCATTGATGTGGAACCTGATTTCTTCAAGTGTCTTTTACTCTGTATGAATTACGGCTCCAGTCTGACGTTGCTATATAATTTGACTCGTAATGAAATGGCTTTTGTGCTAAATACGTGTGCAAGGTAAAGACAGTGGCAACCGGATTTTGATGTGTGTTTCCCGTGTATCTAACCTTTGAATATACAGGGTGACCCTCCAGCAATGCAACCCATGAAACATTTGCCTTGTTTCAAAAACGTGATCTGTGAATTGTTATGTTTTGGATATCAGATTAAAGCTGAGAGGTTTTTTTTTCATTAAATACTGAAAAGAAAAACATGAAAACAGCAAATTGCGTTACTGAGAAAATGCAAATTATGTTACACAACTCCTTTTTGGTCCATTCCAGTGGCATTACCACAGTTAAGGGATTTACACTGTACCTATTTGTGCATGAAATGCATGTAGCGCATTGTGTCCTAATCCTTACAAACAACACGGCACATGACAAGAGTACGAATGAATTTGATGGAAATACCTTTTGTTTTCCACCCGAACAGGTATCTTATCCTTTTAGTCCTATTTTAAACCTTTTCAGCATCATAAATATGTCCAAAGACTAAAGAAATTGCACAATTAATGAAAGACATATTAAAATAAATGTTTCTTAACTGTGGTAATGTCATTGAAATGGACCGGGAGTGGTATTACTTAATTTGCATTTTCTCAGCCACACAATGTACTGTTTTTATGACTTTTTCAGTATACAAGAGAAAAAACTCTCAGCTTTTATCTCATATCCAAAACTTAAAAATTCATAGATCACGTTTTTGAAAAAAAGGACAAATGTTTCAGGGTTGCATTTGTTTGGGTCACCTGTATATAGTAAGCAATCATAAACACCGATATTTTGCCATCGGGAGACGAATAAATCTTTAATTTCAAAAATGTATGTTTTGGTTTACATCTTAACCGGTTTTCTTTTTCTATGTATAGCCATCCATGCAACATTTTCTGGAAAGAAATGTAATCTACACCGTATAGATTACCTTTCTTTCCAGAAAATGTTCCAATTCTAGTCTAACACAATCCTGTTATTCAACCACATCATATTGGGTTACACATCCTCATCTGTAATTTGTCAAATTTCGAGGAAGAGGCCAACATCGAAAGCGAAACGACAAACCATTTCCGGAAATTTTTCCGAGTGAATACCTAGGATCAATGCAGGCTTATAATTGACACCGTTCGCATACATCTATATATTCCCCTTAGTGTCGTTACGTTACAAGCCGTTTGGTCTAGCTTATTCACCAGCGAGTGTTGCTGGCCGAGTATACATATCTGTGATAATTCACTTGATCACGCACTGACGACAAAGACGAGTCTGCAACGGACAGCTCCAGTTGAGATAGTCTTCGGTAGGTGTAGTCTTGGCCTCTAGATTTGGAGTTTATTACGGAACCCAGCCAGTTATTAACAAGCCCGGTGAAGCTGCCATGGCGTGCGGCAGAGGACGCTGTCAACAGTTATGTTGTCTTAAGAACTTTGGCAGCGCTACCCAGGAGTTTTCAGGCATATACTCCGCGCGCACGCATTACCTTGTATTGGGGAATAAAATACAGCATCCAGCCTCGGGCAAAGACTACGGTATAGGTCTCGATCAGTTAAGTTTACATGTAAACTTAAAAACTCAATGGTTCTTGATGAACACTGTTTTTTTCTCTGTGTGGTTGAAATAATTATATAGTTAACCACTATTTTGTATACGATTTTGAGCGAACTTTACAGTTGCGATAACTTGGCTCATGTGGACATCTGAATGTCTGCAAGCGTGTACACTTCACGCTTGCATGCGGTTTCCATTGTGTCAGTTCATGTCAGCAGTGCTGCAACTCCACGATGCACGGCAACTTACAGCGCCCCTATCATAATATTTATGGAAACTCCCTGTATTAGAATATTTCAATTAATATGCGCACACAGTGATCAACAATAGATGTGAAATAAATCAGAGAGCCTTGATTCATGATAAAAATCACTACAAGGTAGACCCAGGTTAAGTGACATTAAACAGCTGTCAGATTGAAACTCCATCATAACTGGTTGTTTAACTATAGGGCTTGACAAGGACTTCGTACTTTTTAGAATGCATGATTCACATTGCGAAGGAGGACGGTTCAACAATGATATTAACAAGATGCAAGGTCAAACGTTCACAATGCGAAGGTAAATGGTTCATATTGCGAAGAAGCAAGGTGCAACGTTGACATCAAGCATGATCAATGGTGTACATTGACAAGAGCGAACGTGAACATTAACAAGTTGGAACATTCACATTAAGAAGGAACAACTTCTACAATGCGATATTAAGCTACGTGCAACGTGCATATTGCGAAGGTACAACGTCAATATTAAGAAGTTACAAGGTTCATATTAAAAAGGTCAATATTAAAATGTCGTTCCAGGGCCACCGTACACAAGAATACCTGAGATTCTGGAAACACAATGCCAGACCAACACACAACAAGGGGAGGGGGAGGGGGTGAGTCCCTCCGTCCTATGATCCGTCTACATAATATATTGCAGCTATACGCGATGTCGCGCACTGATCCGACGAATTATAGCAACTGCGCGCGCCTGTGCGTCGTGCCAATGCTTGCGCGCGCTGCGCCGAATAACAAAACGAACTACTAATTTAAATTTTCCTACGGTGCGTCTTAAGACGCACCATTGGAAAGGGCTTCC